AAGTGATGGTTTTGAACAAACCAATGTTTTGTTAGTTGTTATTTTTACTAGCCGTAATTCATGCTTGTTGAACTCAAATTGTACATAACGTTTTTTAATACAAATTGCATCTTTAAAACAAAATGGTTATCACCGTTTAGAGATTTGTATTGTATTCCAAAAACATAAGTCAACATCGACAATATTTCAAAAAGTGTGTTAGTAGTTCTATCCTAAAAATTAGAAGCATGAAATAAAAAAAGTCTCCGTCGAAATTGGCATGCTTTATAACTGTACTATAGCCATAAGCCGTCCCATCTAAGCCCTGCTCAATCCCTAGAAGGAGAATTAGGGCTCTCATGATACACCGTTAGGATGAAGATATAGGGCCCAACGCTGTAAATGGCCCGAGTTATATGTTCTAGTAAAGACATATAGAGAACTAAATACGCGCTATGACGCGAACATGGTTACTTTGTAGCTTAGCAAGCAAATTGGAAATAAGGTATTGCGTTAATCTGAACATTCGTAATTATGCTAATACGAATATCTACTATTACTCAGACACGTTTATGCGCATTAATAGAAACATGTAATCATTATGATTCAATATCAATTTTTTCACAAACTTCGCGTAAGAAATTCGAAGTAGAAAGTGGCCTCGAGGGCTAATGTAAACTTTCTATATTTTAATAAAATACGTATCAACCAGCTCGATCAGCAACATGTTTAATTACCGCTTACCTTCTATCTGTCTGTTTCAATCGAATTTCGTCCACTGCTGGACAAAGGCCTACCCACAGATTTCCACAAACTCCACATTCATAGGTCACCAAAGCAACCTTCAATTTTTTTTTTGTTACCTACTCTTGTTCAATGGACTCTATCTTCTGTTAATTTTATTTTACATCCAACTTAACGGCACGTGCACACCGTTTACTTATGTGACCGTACTTATGTATCTATTTTTTTATCTTTATAACGATGTAAAAGAGATAGATAATATTTTTCTCTTAGGGAGACATATTATCATACTGACAAAAGTCACCCGTGCGCGCGCGCTTTAAGAGAGTCATCGAACAATGAGCGACACAATTTTCCATATAAAAATTCGGTCACAAATTACGGTTCACTGACCCGGCCTTGACTTTATGATCGTATGAATGGCTCGCATCTGTGAACTGGACCAATCGGAGTCACGCACACCCAATCGACCGTTTCACAGCAGAATAATGTTACATATCAATCGACGCATCCATCAGTTTTTTACTATTTTTTAGTGACCGACCGAATATTCGTTTTCGTTTTCGTTTTCGGCCATTTTCGGCCAAAAAATGGACATTCGGCCATATTTTCGTTTTCGGCCAAAAACCAGCCGAAGCTTCGGCCAAACCGAATATCAAAAATACGTGAATAAGATGGTGACGTTTATCGTTCCGATATCTTCGGGAGTGAATCTGGTGCACTCATGGTTCCAATCAGACTTGAACGGACGCGGTATTGTCACACTCTTTTGAAGTTGTGAAGTGAGGTTACGTTGTAAAGGGTGTCCAGCGACAATTTTCCAAGTTCAAAATTGAATACAATAAACCCAAAGAGTTTTCATTAAGTTTAATTGTTTCAAAATAGAGTCTTATGCGGATTTGAAATACGCCATGAGTCACTGGTTGGGAGCCTACAGAGTGTTCGCAGTTGAGCAATAAGTATTTGAAATGTATTGTCGAATGATCGATGAATGTCTTATACCACAACTGCAACTGCATCCCGGTCAACTACGTAACTCTATTTCAGCAAGAAGGTGTCTCACCACACAGGGAGAGTACCTCGATGGAGACACTGAGGACTATTTTTTTTTCAAATAAATGATCAGCAAGTACAGGGACATACCCTAGCCGCCTCGGTCACCAGATCTCACACCATGCGACTTTTTCTTGTGGGGATATCTCAAGTCAAAAGTTTACAGCAAACAATCCTTAAATAATTCAGATTCTGTAAGAAAATATCCGCCGTGAAGTTGCAGGAAAATTATTAGCGCGATTTGCTCTCGCATAGTTGCGAATGTAATGGTCCGGCTGTGAGAGTGCCTATAGTAAAACGGGCATCATTTAAAAGACATTGCCTATAAAAAATTTAATCCACATTGTTAAACTCCAGTTTGCATTAGTAATAAATAGTAAAAAATCATTAATTTAGTTGTATTCATTTTTGAAGTTAAAAAATTCCCACTGGACACCCTTTATTTCTTCTTCACTTCCCAATATTTCAATATACACCGGAAATAATATTCTACTAAGAATTCATGATTAATTTTTTTGTGTTTTAATGCCGGTTTTCTATAATCAATCTTTGAAAATCAACTGTCAAACGTCATTATGTTTTTGGTCAAAACATTAACGGTTTTCAAAGTTTTTACATAATTTCAGATTGAAATTTGAGAGTTGAAGGTCATTTTCGTTTTCGTTTTCGTTTTCGGCCGAAAATGAGACTGCAGCCGAAGCTTCGTTTTCGTTTCCGTTTTCGGCTGAAAATCCATATTCGGTCGGACACTACTATTTTTCACCCCAGCAAGCAAGCTGGCCTACATCTCACCTGAAAAAGCTTAAAAAAACAGAAAAAGTGTCAATCTACCACCAGTTAGTACTTAGGTACTTTAGTTCAAAATGCTCTCTTGCCACTTCTAAAGTGTATTAACTATACTACACACCAAAAGCTCTAATTTGGTCAGTAAATAAAAAAGAGGGTAAATGCAAAATTGTATCTGTGAAGTAAGTAAACTCGGGTATTAGTATATGACGTTGTAGGTAATATGTGTGGTAATAAATAAATAATTAATATCTATCCTTCAATTATGACATCTCAACTGTTATATTAATAAACATAATTATAATTATTCATGTTGCATAAAAGTAAGTTGTCTGAATTATGTGTTTTATTTTCCTTTTTTTGCGTAATAACTCACTTTCATTTGATTATACATAAAAGAGAACTAAATATAACTTGAATATTCATGCTAATATTGTTGAAAAGCAAAACACGTCATGGAATAAACGGAAATGGATACGAAATTAATTTCATTCAGGTAAGTAATTAAAGAATGTCAGTATACCAGAATGTTTCGGAGTAACTCCTGCATTAATTATTATGTACATACGGAAGCGCGATTCTTTAATAATTAATTGACTATGTTTATTGGAGTGCGATTTCTAGTCACATTTTTGTTTTCGTTCAAACCATCAATTAATAACCAATCATACTTAATAATGGCTGTGATACTATCAAACTATGTGCCGGTAAACGTTTTGGTGCTATGCATAGTAATGCAGCTATAGTAATAAATTACTTAATCATAGACATTGATTGGTAAATAGTTTCTGTGATTACGAATGCAGTTATGCGGCCTTTGTAATTAACGGAGATGGCCCTAGAAACTCAAACGTTATTTATGACGGAGATGAAGCAATTCCACATGTACGAATATGTATATTCGATTTCGATTAAAAATATAAAATTTCAAAATATTACGTATCCGTTTGTGTTTCTTATAGTTAATTGCTTCAATTAATCAGTGACGACGTTGACTTGTTTAAGTAGTTCCGAATTCCGGGTGTAATTTTTTCAATTTAAATATCGACAAAAAACAAATTAATTAATTAGTGTTGCACGTACTTACCTACTTTTACACATAATTCGTACTTACGTATGCCAACTTACAATTAAAAAATATCGAAAGGAAAGTCGACATTAATATTAATAGGTTCCAGTCAAAGATTTTCATCTCATTTGATTGATTTATAAGAAATCACGCGAATCGTCGCCTCGACGTTTGTTCTAAATGAAGGAACGAAGTTTTAAAATTGAACAATTTCAGACTTAAACGCGTGCGATAGAGTCTAGAATCTAGCTAGACAGATTGAACAATTGCGCTAATCCGCTTTTCAGGCAAGCCTTTTCACACATAAATCACATTCATCTGAGACAGATCAAACGGTGCCTGCCGCAACGGATTGAGAAGTATCAATTCAGCCAATCATTTTGTGTAAATGTAGAGCAAATTTTCTTTTCACACAATACTTGCAAGAACAATAAGTCGTGAATTTTATTTTATGAATTCTAAACCGTGAGTCACAAATACCTATTGCTGCAATGCAGGTAGCTAATGATGGTAGGTAGAGTTTTACAAATCGTAATCTAGGTTTTTCTTTGCTCTTCATTCAAAACATTATTGGCGCGATTTAAAAAAGTTTAACTAACGCGTCAAAATATGTACTAAAGAAATACATAATGTCTGCCGTTTGGTGTAGTGGTTAAGAACGGACTACTATGCCGAGAGGTCCCGGGTTCGATTCCCGGCCGGGCATAAATTGAAATGATGAATTTTAATTACTGTGACGGGTCTGGGTGTTACTACTATGTATGTATTTACAAAAAAAAATATTTAAATATGTTTATATCTGTTGTCTAGTACCCATAATACAAGCTTTGCTTAGTTTGGGACTAGAAGCGTAGTGTAAAATGTCCAAGGATATTTATTTATTTACACATGAAAAAGGTCTTGACCTGATGACAATTGACATTTTCACTACTTTTTGTTGTGATATGAATACGGGAATAACATCCCAGTTATCAGGCACATGATAGACGTAACCGCAGTCCTAACTCCGACTAGTAACTTTATCAAACTAAGTTGTTTTGACTCTGCTCTACATTTCCACATAACTTTCCTCCCAGTGTAGTTATTAATAATATCTTGTTACGTACTTACTTGTATCGAGGCTAAAATAATATCAATATAAAAAAATAGTGAGTATTTGTAACAAGGAAAATTTAAAGCAAAATTTTAAATAAGCATCTTGAAAATCGAACCGCCTAAGGCGGGAATTGAACCCATCTTCGAATCGATTTTTATAATGTTGCTTATTTAAAATTTGGTTTGAGAAGCGACTGTAATCGCTAAGAAATTTTAATTACGAAGGTAAAAATTTAGCGGTAATACTATCTAATAGTTATGTTTTTCTTTACAGCAACTCTTCTGGGGTCAGAATGCATGGTGTCGGAGCAGTGCACCCTGAAAGTGGCGTACAGTGCTTGCTTGGAAGGCGTTTGTCGGTGCACCGATGGCCATCTCCAGTTCAGAAAACATACCTGTCTTTCCCGTAAGTAAACCTTAATTAGCTATTGGCATCTACAAATAAGATAATTAGGAGCCGAGCGCAGCGTAAGACGCCATCGAGACGAAAAAATGAACATAGTACGTAAGGCTATTATCGGGAAAGAGAATAGCAGTTAAATATTTGTGTTAGTAATAAAAGAGTAGGTATTTGTACAATTGACTCGTTCGAACTCTACGATAACACTATGTAGAGTTTTGAGTTTCTTTATTAGTCAATAAATAAAAAATCAGGCTTAATTAAAATAACTGTGCAAAAATTAATATGATTTTGTACTTCAATGAGCCCATTAAGGCGTACGTATATTATTATGTTAGATCTATATCAAACGTAATCTATCTATATAAATAAAAATGAATTGTTGTTCGTTAGTCTGATTAAAACTCGAGAACGGCTGGCCCGATTGAGCTGATTTTGGTTTTAAAATGTTTGTCGTAGTCCAGGGTAGGTCTAAACGGTGAGCAAATGAGGAAAAATTGCGATGGCTTATTTATTGCCTTTAAGGCGGAACAGAGTTCGTCGGGTCAGCTAGTAAGTAATAATTATAATTATGCTATAAAATATTGATAGTAAGGCAATTATACTCGATTTATAGAATTTACAATCGGTATGAAACATCGTTGTTACATATTAGTGACACATATTTCTTTTCAATTACATACCATGTTTCATTTTTACACTTCACGTGTAATATTTTATTCCATTCGATAGAGGCGACAATTGGAACATGCGTATAATCGTACTTAGTGCACACTTTTATATTATTTTGTTAATATAAATTTACGAGACATGTTAGCTGAGAAACATGTCTATTAATTAAACAGAAAAAGTTTAGTTTTACAAAAAAAGGTTGACTGTGTTGTGTACGATTGGTAAATATTGTCAAATCGATGTTTATAACCAGACAGTCAAATTGAATTGCTCACGTTTTTTATCGTAAATAAGTATAAGTACATTAACGTACTTAAGTAGTTTAACTAATAGTCATAATGTATTTTAATTCAAACTAAAATTAAGTTATTAAACTTCTTACCAGTTTAACTAGGGAATTTGGACGGAATAATTCGTCCAAGCTGGGAAACTATAACAGTATTGTATATTTCGATTTGTTATGTGGTGCAGTACAAACAATTGTGATAAGTGAAATTGAAGAAATTTACGTCCAGTTCTTTTATTACATATACTTAAATTTTTATCATTATTATTCCCACAGTTATTGCAGACAAACTGATATGTTTCATTGCAAAAAATGTACAACACTGATCTACTTAATTTAGGATATAAATCTTGTTTACAATGTCCGCATTGGCGCCAATTTATAGACTATGTAACTAATGAATCGAAAGCCATTTATTTGAAAAGAAATCGAAAGGAAACACCAACGGAAGGCATTTAATTATTGTTTAACCAGCGTGAAGTTATTAATCACTTTTGCTTAAAAAAAGATGACATTTACGCAGTGTGCGTAGCGCTAGGGGCGCGACGCCGCCATAATTATTATGTTTTTAAAATCTGCAATCGGACTTGGTTGTTACTTAATTGGAAAAAGTTTCTAGCCAAGTTGTCTAGTTGTCCAATAGATATAGTATTACATGCGAATTACGACTTGCCGAATCCTACTAATCCTGTATGGATGTCTGGATGTTTGTTACTCTTTCACGCAAAAACTACTGAACGGGTGAAGCCGCGGGCAACAGCTAGTCTATTCGTAAAGATATGGCCTACAAAATTATAAATCTACATTTATTGTTCAATTTCATACCCTCTTATTAATTAATTGAAAACATTAAAATCCTACATCTTACATTTTAAGAAATATAGACTTCATGAAGACACAATATACTACAAAAACGACTGTAAAATCCAATTTCCACTCGCATCGGAGGAGGTCGTGCCGTATCTAAGAGCCATGGTGAATCTAATTTAATCGGATAAAGATAAGATGTTTTGTACGCTCTATTTCATAAATACAAAAACAGTACATTATTGGTGGTAAAATATGAACATCATAATGTTTTCAGCTCTGTAATGAAATACTTATTTGCCAAGAAATAGTCAATTAAGATTAATACAATGAAAACCTAATTAGCCTTGAGTGAACTAAGTACTTTAGGATAGAAGATTATGACATATAGTGCGAAGCTCAAAGACCGAACGCGATGGAGGACTGTTGTGGGCGCCCTCTGGGGACATAGGACCTTAAGTCAAGACGTGTGGTGCGTGCGCGTAGCAATAGTAGTGTTATCTGCTCAATAGTTTTTTATATTAAAGCTTCCAGCAATGTAGGGGGAAGCTTTTTCGCTTTACGTCTTCTATCGTCGTTTGGATAACAGCAGTTCTCAGATTCTAAAGATAGCATTTAATGACCATTTAAACTTCACGCGGAAAAACTTTAAATACGTATACCGACTGCCAAGACTGCAGCAGATTATGTGGTAGGTACTCCTTTAACTAGTTCAGAATCTTATGCACTAACAAATACTTATTCATTATTATACCTATTCAGCTAATGTAAGGTAATTTGATGACCCTACAATATCAGTTGCTAACTAGATAGATACACGAACTCTACATTTACACAATTAAATACTGTTTAAGTTGACAATTACTTATAAAAAGTTGACAACCTTAGATTTATACTCGTAGATATAAATCGACAGTCGTTTATCATGCAGGAAGCTTAAGATGGAATATGTGCCAGTCTACATTTTCAATGTGTTGACAGTTACGTGGTCATGCTAGGCGATAATTGCACATGCATTATGGATCGTATGCGATTGTTTTAATATCAATGTGCATAGATAAGTCTTATTATATGGTAGGATTTTCATTGGGAAGTCTTACGCAAGTGCGTTGAACTCTTACTTATTCATAGAAATACATACAGAGCTACAAATTCAACGCTACGTATTATTATGTTAATGACTTCCACTATGAGTAAAAAAATATGTAGGTATAGTAAAGTCAAGACAAGTGAATTTTCTTCGTCATCATTTGTTTCTGAAATCATTCTGTAATAAAGCCTGTAGAGTCTACCTACAGGCTCAGGAATACCGACAATATAATTTCCAAATTCAATTCGAGATCGCTCCTCTACGTTCTAAGAAGTTACGTACAGATGCAATATTCTCTTAGGCACAGGTTATTTGCCTTGTTGTCTGGGTCTGCCGGATGGTCTTTCCTTATTTCGATGTTTAACTACTTTGCCTTTACTTTTGGGCATGTGGCTGATATGGACAGATTGGCCAGTCCCATTTTAGTAGAGTCGCTGGGAAAAAGCCCTCTAAGTCGACAGAGCTTTGACGATACACGCAACATTATCAATATCACAAGGATATTATGGAACCTTCATTCAACATTTCAAACGTATTGTAATCTCCAAAAGACTTACTGCTTCGATTATTTGTCGCTGAAAAAGATACATTGCTGAAAATTTAAGCTATTTATCATCCCTGCACTAAGCGTGCATCGAGGAAACTGCAGCCAAGAATTTATTACCTCTATGTAGTCATTTAATAAAATAGTGCAGTAATAAAGTTATTCGGAGTATTCGGACTTTCGTTTTCGTTCGGATCGGACTCGCGACCAGTCACGGTGGTTACTGTGCTGGATCGAAACGAGATAAGCTGCCGTGTAATTCTATAATGTATCTCGGTCGCACTGTTGTTTCCGTACTCCAGCTTATGGGGAAAGTGCTGTCATCATTGTGTTTTCTTTATTTCCATCTACCATTAAAATCTCAAACGATCTGTACCTCTAGTAGGAAAAACTTTCGAGTTCGTTTCGTTGCGTATTCAAAGTGTCATAGAAAAATTTTGTATGAAAAATTAAACAGCGCCCCCTATATTATAGCCGCCCTAGGGGGCGCTGTTTAATTTTTCATACAAAATTTTTCGATGACACTTTGAATACGCAACGAAACGAACTCGAAAGTTTTTCCTACTAGAGGTACTGAGTGCATCTGCACTCGAAGTCGAAACTGCACGGTACTGGGAGTGTAGATAGGTACATAAGTATTTGTGTTTAGTCACAAACTTCATTTGAAAAGAACAACAATTGAGTTATAAAATGCCACTCAATTAGATTTTAGTGACTGGTCATGCATAACAAATGAAATGATTTTAGAACATTTTTATTAAATTTGATCGTCGCTTGTGTAAAATGTCAATTATTTGGTCATTGCAGACTCTGACATGACAACTTACAATATTTAACTTACAAATTAATACAAGTTATTAAAGATATGATTCTTGTTCGTACTAATTGATTTGCTTCAATATTAATTGATTTAATAATCTAACATGAGTTGCTGTAATTAAGTGATTTATTTTCATTTCATGTTTAGGTAAGTATTTAAAATGTTTATATCTTGATGAATGGGTTCCGACATTTTTTTACATATTTTTAGTGACAGTTCGAAAACTTCAAAAGATCGTGTGAGATTAACTTTCATCCTTTCGCACTCGCTGTATATCTTGCATCTTGTAACTTTGTGAGAAAAACAAGGTAATTGTTCCATCAACCCACCGGGCCAATGAGAACCACGCTCATTATCCGGAGAGTAAGCTGTTGCCACACTAGATGCAGAGAGCAGGCTCACTTCCAAGTTTTCCAACACGATCTCAAACAATATTAAGGATTCTACATGCCAAGCCCTGCGGTTTGGTGTCGGCTGCTTTATTTCAAAGAAACATGTCGACGGCTTGTGCTTTCTATGACTTTGGACAACATGAAAAATTTTGACGACTCGCCGGCGGATTTGGTGTGTGACTGCATTACCTCTGAGCACAAAGGGACATAAAATTATATGACTATGACATACCCCTAGCCAGAACATTGTCCTCCATCTGCGACTAGGAAGTTCACCTACCATATTCACCTCTATTATTGTTCCGAGTTCATGCTGTGAGAATCGCACGTTTGAAAATTCTAGATAACTATGTTTAGGTGCCACTGAATGACAGACGTATTGAGATCACGCCCGTCGTAATCATCCTGATCATAATAATATCATTATGTTTGTGCAGTATTGTTAGAGAGGTGAAAGATAATAAAAAGACCTAGTTTGCAGAACGACTAGATTTTAGATTTGAGTATAAAATGTTTTGTATTAACATTATGTTTGGAATGTTTAGAAAGAAACTCTACATGATTATCACAGAAAGAAAACATGTCATAATTTTATTTTGGTGCACTGTAGCGTCTGTAGCTGTAAATAAATATTATAGCCACCGATTCATACTTAGATTGAGGTCGAAGCACCGAGTATGGTTTGCGTGTCGTGCTTTACGGTACAAGATTAGCATATAATAGCCAATCAAATTACCATTTGTAATTCTACATTCACGACACTTAATCAAATAAATTTCATTAAGTAACACTTAATAAGCATGGGAATCATTACGCCTACTTACACAATTGTGGACATTACATTATTAGAATACCTAGTATCACTTTGAATGACTTTATAAGTTCTTAAACTACAAAGGCGACGTTAACTGTATCATGTCTATTAGAGCATAGGATGATACACCGTATGATTACGGAAATTGCCAACCACAACGTGCGTCGTCAATCACCATAAAATTCAATTGCTCACATGTAATACCTATAACTGTTTGTTATTTTTCATTACAGCTGCACAACCAGGTCACGTGTGCTACAGCAACGAACACTGTCGCTTATGGGATAAAGAGAGCCACTGCGAATTCGTTATACCCAATCTGTTCGGGCGATGCGCATGTAACTCTATGTTCAAGCAAGCCGGTGAAAAATGCATAGCGCAGAAAACATCTCCCTATGTCACAGAAGCAGTTATAGCTGAACAAGGGTCGGTAATAGGACAAGACCAAGATTTTTCTCAGAAGTATCCTAAGCCATCAAAACAGCCGAATAGAGTAGACGCTTATGAACCAAATTCAGTCCTCGACACAGATGATATCCACCCCAGCAAGTTACCAATGTTCACTAACAAAATCGAGGTTCTTAGCACCCAGGAGGACAGCCCATTGATGCAAGCTGTTTTGAAAGTCCCAACAGCCGAACCGGTCAAAAGATTACCAGTTTTTAACAGAAGAGATGGAGATCCAAATGAAACCATACAGCTGGATGAATTGACAGCAAATCTACACGCAAATGATCAACCGATATACAGAATTGTGACACAACCATCAGTCGAAAATAATGGCACGAACAAAAAAGGAAGCTCATCAAAGGAGCAAAGCAGCTCATCAAAGGAACAAAAGCAACAGAAAGCTGGTCATCAGAAGAAATCTTCCTTGAAAGGTATCTTTTATTTACCTACTCAATTACAAAATACACTCAGTAAAATTGCTTTAAAAAGTTGCAGAGAATTATAGGGAAAATATTTGCATAAAACTGAAACTTATTTTTCAGATAAACATCGTATCCGGACCGAAGTTGCCACTCCTGTGTATGACCTTGGTCCAGCATCACTCGGCATGCCATGTGTGACCGACTCCCAATGTAACTCAGTCGATCCTCACTCGAGGTGCCTAAACAAAAGATGCGACTGCGCATACCGGACCAACTCTACATCTGCTTGCTCCGCCAGAAATAGAGGCTGTTTGCCCGGAACTTTCCAGGTAAAACATGAAAATACGAATTGATTTAAGTGGGTAGATACTTTCACTTAGTCTTTAGTTCGTGCTGTTTTCATTTGATGCATCGTTTCTGTGGTACAGTGCCGATCGACGGGAACGTGCATTAGCTGGTACTTCGTCTGCGATGGCCGCAAAGATTGCCCCGACGGTTCCGACGAAAAATGTGAAGGTACTGGTAAAGGTCGGTAACTGTCTATGCACGGACGAATTTTCAATGCACGTCTTTCTTTTCTATGCTATAGCCTTGCTAAATCAACTTTCATTTCCGCATCTATCCTTTTGCTTAACTACTTACATCAATTTTCTAATCGTATGAAAAAAGAAGAAAGTAGAATTTTGAAAATGCATGCTAAAGGAATAGCTTCGTCCATACCGCTTCTATGACGTAATAAAGCTAAAGTGTACGTAAACTTATAGTGAAGTGAAAGAAAAATAAAGCAGCCCATAATTTCTAGTTTCCGAAAAAAGGCTCTAAAATACTTAGTCCAGTCAATAAAGCATTATAAATGGAAATCCGTGGAACACAATTTCTGACCTCGGGACTTTATCTAGACTAGTTAGGAGGTGAACATAGCAAAAGTCCCCGCCCTTAGCCCTTGAGCCGGCGGGAAGAGGGGGGTTTAAAGGTACCACTTTTCGGTTTTTCACTTAATCCTCGGAAACTATACGTCCTAGTGACATGGCTACTATGAACCAAAAAAAGCTTATTGAATTTGCTACAGGTGAGACAGTCAAGTTTTTCTATATCTTGTATAGTTTTTGCGGCAACTGCTCTAGAAGGTCTGTAATGTTGGAAATTTTATTTTTGTCTTACATGTTCCCATCAGGAGAAAATCGACTAAATCAACATTGAGCTAATATTCTAGACCTGCGGGAGCATGTTAAGACTAGTTCCAGGGAAGGGACTGCACCGTGCGTATATTTAGACGAACCACTAGGAGCCACTTTTGACTCCTCGTCACTCAAAAAGTGCTGTGCATTAACACTTCAAATTTGGCTCATGTGTTGAGACTTGCAAGATAAACATCAGCTTCAAATTTCATAAATATACCTCAAACGATTCTTTAGGTATTGACGTCCAAAAATCTACATGGCTGACCTATAAGACCAAATTCTAACCACTTCCAGATGACCTTGAAGGTTCAAATTTGGCATCCAGATAGGTAGTTGTGTAAATACAAAGGAACAAATAAAAAACCAGTAGATTTTAACATTTCACAGGTGATAGATAGATTTTAGTGTCCTAAATGTCGATTTTTGAACGTCAATACCTAAAAAATCGTTTGAGGTATATTTATGAAATTTGAAGCTGATGTTTATCTTGCAAGTCTCAACACATGAGCCAAATTTGAAGTGTTAATGCACAGTACTTTTTGAGTGATGAGGAGTCAAAACTGGCCCCAAATGGTTCGTCTAAATATGCGCACGGTGCAGTCCCTTACCTGAAATTAGGCTTAACATGCTCCCGCTTGTCTAGAATGTTTGCTCAATGTTGATTTAGTCGATTTTCTCCTGATGGGAACATGTAAGACCAAAATAAAATTTCCAATATTACAGACCTTCTAGAGCAGATGCCGCGAAAACTATACACGATATAGAAAAACTTGACTATCTCACCTGTAGCAAATTGAATAAGCTTTTTTTGGTTCATAGTAGTCATGTCACTAGGACGCATAGTTTCCGAGGATTAAGCGAAAAACCGAAAAGTGGTACCTTGAAACCCCCCTCTCCCCGCCGGCTTAAGGGCTTAGGGCGGGGACTTTTGCTATGTTCACCTCCTAACTAGTCTAAATAAAGTCCCGAGGTCACAAATTGTGTTCCACGGATTTCTCTCTACACCGTCGTTAAAGCATTCATTGACTGGACTAACTCTAAATATCTATCGGATCAAATGTTGTTTGATAACTCTCAAATGACAAGAGTTAATTTTTGTCCATTTTAGCACGCTACTGGCGAGCGGTGTCCTATGCACTAAAGTGTACGTGAACTTAGTCATATAGTGAAATGAATGAAAAATAAAAAGGACCATGTTTCTAGTGTGTTTCTAGCTTCCGAAAGAAGGCTCTAAATCTCTCGCATCAAATCTTTCTTGTCGAGAACTCAAATAACAAGCGATAATTTTGTTCATTTAGACGCTACCGGCGAGCGGTGCCCGATGCACGCGTTCCGATGCGGCGGGCCGGGGTCCCGCTGCGTGTCGCGCGCGTCTCGCTGCGACGGAACCCCGCAGTGCCCCGGAGGCGAAGACGAGAGGAACTGTAGGGCGACCAAACGCAAAGGGTAACTACAACAATATTGTTCTTTTTTTGAATCGTCATAAAAGGTAATGGAGGGATCGCAAAACATTCATTAGTTAAAAGGCCCCTTGGGTGACATTGATCTGTCTGTCTTTTACTCATTGCTAATGAATTTGCAAGAAGCGGGAGCTTATACTCGTACGTATACGTGTAGATTTAGATCCTTTGTGTGAATCGTGGGGCACTTTGTTCCAAATTATAGGTAATCTAGAAACAAGCTTGGTTTCGAGATGTTTCAGTAGAGTTTCTAGTTGTTATCTTCGCAATTGGCAGGGTAATTGGCATTTCACTGTCAGAAAGCACATATTATGACACTAGTGTTCCACAATACCAATGCTCGTTGTGAAAATTTTCCACTGACAAAAGATAAGTAAGCAACAACATTAACACTATAAGTACTTACTAGTAAAATGCTTGCTTTTCGTTTTACAGATGCCCAAGGCATACGTTCAGATGCGGTTCCGGCGAGTGCCTGCCAGAGTATGAGTTCTGCAATGCGATAATCTCCTGCAAAGATGCATCTGACGAGCCTCCACACCTATGTAATGAACAATCCAGGTAAGACTCCTCTAATTACCTACTTGGTATTTTTATGTACCTACTTGTTATTTTTGGCACCTTTAGTGATGCAGATCTCCTGAGATCAATAGTGGAAGATCTACATAGTAGACACCTAAAAATGTAGCCACACCACGAACAAAAGATACTTAGTCAATATCGATCATTCTGAATCCCGTTTTCCCTTATGAAGCTGGTTAAACCTGCTTGCGATTATGGCATATAGTATACCTAGGTTACATAAGGTAATATCACCAGTATGGCTAATTTACAGCTAAGTTCCGTTGCAAACAAGTTTCATCCTCCATTTGTGCTTAACCAACATGTGTAAATTCCCGCATCAACGCCAGACGTTGGATATGACGCGGGTCAAATATTTGAGCAAATACTGTTATGGGTCACACGTGTGCCGATTACGAAATGTGTACGTGAACCTGACACGGACACCTCGTACGCGTAATTTGGTCAGGAAGCATGTACCGTACAGCGGGTACATTTGAAACTGTCGAGATCTTATCGAGAATGTTTAAATGCAGTTTCCGGGTGTCAAAACTTGATTCATGATGTTATTAAAAAGTTGCTTTGGAAAAATCTCCGCTCTAATTTGGACGTTTAACTACTGCTGCTGAGGAGATCTTGATCTCTAAGTACTGCAACATAATAATAAACAATCCTATGCCAATGCATATTAATCGTCAGGACTAATCTGAAGCTGAAAAAGCCGCTCACGGCTATCAGCAATGCCCGTCTGAAAAAAGTCTGTAATGACATCCATCCCTATCATTATTTTGAGATCTTCCACTGATCATTAGCAGCAAGTTTGGTATCTTTCTTTTTTTATCTATTTCCACGTTATTTTTTTAATTATTTATTTGTATACGAACAGATGGCGAGCGGCCGACTTCTGTCCACTGCGGTGCGGTAACGGCCGGTGCAGGAGCACCGCGGTGGCGTGTTCAGGCCGGGATGGCTGCGGGGACAACAGCGATGAGATTGCCTGCACTGTTTGTAGTGAGTACCATGCCTTATATTGGTAGCCAATTTCGCTGGCTTCCATTCCTCGTAGATTTCGTTACCCGACGATTCGCACTATCGCGATGTGTTACAGAAAGTATTCCCTGGAAGTTGACAGTGTTGATTTCAATTTCAATATCCCATCATCCCCATCGGTCGCTAAGCTAAAAAAGTATTTTTGGCAAACTAATTTTCCTAAGTTATTTTAAGCTGTGGCCCTATTTGTTCTGTCTAGAAAATACTCACTTTTTGGAAACATGTTTCTTACAAAGATCTGCTAAACTTTGGTAAGCAGTGTACTTAGCATAAACATTTTAAAATGCGGTTACTCTATATTATAGAGACGAACTATCGTGCAATATAGTCACCAAAGCTAACCGTTTTAATACGCCATAACAGTATGGCGAATATAAATGAGGCGAGTCCGCATTGATGGCACCAAGCGTGGCATTATAATTCGTAATTTGGCCATGGTTGTCGCCGGACCATGTTGGGCGCCAGCTGACCAAACATGTGGCTTCTCGGTCACATTCTAGAGATTTGACACGACTAAATACCGCTACTCGGACAATACATCATCACCTATTCTGCGGGATAAACAAAATTATAAAGTTACTCTTTTACCGTTACTTTAGAATTTTAAGGGCCTCGGCTATTTCAACTCTTACCATGAAAATTTTCATGATACATTTCGGCTTCGTTCAGACTTCAGAGGTAATGAATAGAGATCTGTAAGAAAATCTAAAGCGGTAACCTTATAGTAAGTTATGTATCTTAAACCGACTGGTTTTAAGTGTTTTAAATTATTCATTCAGATAATAATATTTTTCTCTTACAGGATGTCCAGCACCACCGCAATCACCTTGAAGACAAACCGCATAGATAGTTATGAATTCTAGTGAAAAACAAGGCTGAAAGTAAACGTCAACGATGCTATTGACTCTTTCCTCGTACATTTACGGACAAAGGGTTTTAGAAACACCATCACATTGATTTTACGTATGAAAAAATAAAAAAAATACGTATAAGCAGCTGCGATGCAATTAAACAGTAAATCCTTAGTTTTTTAGCAGCACAAAGTCTAATGTATTAGTAGACGTAAATTAAATAGAGTTTAGAATAAGAACCGTAAATTACATTTGTACAGTAGCACTATTTAGAAATAGGTTTCCCTTTTTTAATCACGACGTATAAACTTTATGCACCTGTTAGCAACTGTCACTTTGTCGGTTTGAAGTAATCTACAGTGTTCATTTCAAATTAATATATTTGAATATAAAAGTCAATACCTATTCCTTGAATGTAAAACGGATATTAAACAAATTGGCTAAAACATTAATAACTCAATAAGACTGACACAAAAATGCTCGAACAGGACACGAATCCACAAAATCAATCACTAATTTGTAAATATGAAATTAATACTAATTACATTTTATTTTTATTAGTGTTAGCACTTAGTGACACAATAAGTCGTTCTAATTATTTTGTACAATATCAAGGTATTAATTTATTAAATGCTTAACTTTATAAACCTTAAAATAAAGGATATGAAATTAAACAAGGCTTATTGAAAAGTAAAAAGTACCTTACAATCGCGCCTCAGTAAAATATTTCGCAAGCGATATTTTACTATGAAAATAGCATAACCCACATGGCGTAATTATGTCACTATGCCAATCTACTTTCTCAAGAATCTTTTCACTAAAATAAGACGTAAAAAGTTTCATCGCTGTATCTAGAAAAAAACCTAACAGACTAGTAAACTATAAAATATAAAACAAACTATTACAAACTGTGTTTCTGATTCCTTACATCGACTGTAATTATGCTTATTTATAAACTAAGTAATGATTAAGTATTACCGACTTTTTTCTAGGAAATAAGATTATGATTGTATGAGAAATAAACGGAGTCAAGTGTAACTTATTGTATTATAGTGTGTTTATGTTGTGTGTGATTGTGATAATTATTTATTAAATTAATTTTATTACTCTGGAATGTGGTTTGATTATTTTTATTTATACCCTCAATAATTTCTAAATAATCAATACAACAAGTCTCAACAAATTCGAATTGCAAACTTGTTGGTAACTTTAGCAATGTAGAGCACTATTTATAGAGTCATCATAACTATNATAACTATAACATTTTAACAAACTTATAACGATTTATTAAAAGATGAATTATTAAATATATGTAGGTAAGGTATGCATCCTAAACTTTCCTAATATTTCGACAGAGTGGAATGCACCATGATTAGATATTGATCGTTAAATGACAGTTAATTCAGTCAGACTGCACCCTCTTTTAGTCTTCTATTAGTAGGTACTATCGACTCCTGATACCGGTTCATGCCCATGCCCAAGTTCGAAAATTCATAAAAAGATCATTGTTTACAGTATAAATTCCGTTACAACTATTTCCAATAATAAAATATGTGAATTTTCCCCTAAAAATTTGTCGCCTTTTCCTAGGATTTTGACTTCTTCGTTTCACACTTCTATACTAAAATCTACCTACCTATCCTATGTGATACCACAGATAATATAATACTAGGTGATACAATAGCAAATATACTACCTCTTCCACACATTTGTTTCATTTTTACGCTGTTGTTTAATAAACATTGAACGAGTAACAGCGCGTAATGCATTCCATTCATGTTTTGTTACGCTCGTAGTTTAGTATTCAAAGTGACGGCTTAATGTTAATGCTGCATTTTTTTTGTTTACGTAAATTAAATATAAATTGTAATGGTGAAATATCTTCTAAAAATAGCTTCGAGGTGCCGTTGATTTTAAATTCTGGTTTTATAAAAGGAGTGTGGATATCTAAAAGTGATCATTTCATCACATAGACAAAACGTTGCAGCGTTGATAAATTCCTCTGAACCATTGCTGATATTTGATACATTTTGTCTTGAAGAGATTCATTTACTCGACAAGGCAGTCTAAATTGAGGCTGCTCTACATTTTTGTTTGTAATATACAATAAAATCATCGAATCCATTTAAGTACCTAGGTACCTACTGCTGAAAAGCATGAAGCAATGAAACAGTTTTACAGATTTTACACGGTCCTTATTGCCAGAGCAAAAATGATTACTTTTAAATATCCAAATCGCAACATAGAACATGAGAAATATTGTAAAAATAATAACAAATGTTCCAGATGTAGAAAATTAAGAAGAATACTCAGCGCAAGACACATAAGGTTTGCAGTGATAGCCACTACTGTATTGTTAATCATTCTTTTCGCTTACTATTGGGTCCGTTCGTCAACATCTACAAGATACCTAAAGTTACAAAGACAAATTACAAATAAACCGTACAAACTCATCCGAGTGACGAACATACCGCTAAAGCATGTGCCCCTGAATGAGATATACGATTATACGTCTGAAGATGACCGTTCGATAGACTTCGATGACCGACGGCAAAGTAAGTTGAATTTTTTTGTACTTATTGTGTGAACACAAAACAAACTCCTATAAAGTTGTCCTACTAAAGATTAAACTGCTGGAAACGGGACCTTTCGATCCCACAACTGGAACTCCTAAAGGATCTAGGTACATGTACCTGCACTGACCTCTAATTAAAACTCAACCAGGGAAGAGAGAGCGAGGGATGTGTTATTCATACAGCCCTCACTCTCCTTTCCATTAGGCTGGATGATAACTAACAATAATTTGGGGGAAGCCTATTCTCAGCAGTAGACGTCCTGTGGCTGATATGATGATGATGATAAATTTCTACGAGATTAGGTACTCTAGATCTGTTTTTATTCCAGAATTCATGGTCGATACTCCTGGTTGCCAAATTCCTATAGCAATGGTCCGTTACGCCACAATTCTGCCTAAGAACGATGTATTGTGCGGCAGGCGAGCGGTGTTTCTAAGTAAACAGGACGATCAAAGCGTGCGGGTCCGAATCAAATCAAGGGTCATGAAGCTTTATCTTAAGACTTCAAAGTTCTATTGCTGCCACCGCTTCATCAAGAGATCATCTACCAAGGGCCGGGAACATTTAGACGTTGAGTAAGTATTTAGAGAAAGGGTCGAAAATACCCAATGAAGTTGGTTATAAGTCGAATTCATTTCTTACAGATACACAAATTGTAAAGAAATTCAGGATGGTGAAACGATTGAACTGGTCACAGATTTTGTAAATGTAAAATGTTTTGAATTTGACAAACAAAATAGAACCGCAGTTATTTACAGCGATGTTTATGCGTTTGCTAAAAGAATTGATGCTGCCCGAGATGTGAGAAATACCCGTGATAAAACAAAATACAATGTCCTGATGCTTGGAATGGATTCCATGTCACTATCGCGGTTCGCACAGACAATGCCCCGAACTATTGGTTTCTTCCAAGATAATTTTTGGTTAGGTTTTAGAGGATATCATAAGGTACGGACCTACTTAAACCTACTTTATTTTATTACCGTCCTTGAATATACCTACTCACTATCTTACATAATCGAAACTTTCCAGGTAGAGGAATCAAATTTCCCAAATTTTATGGTGGCGTTCACTGGCAAGAACTATTCAACAATATCTAAATTATGCTCCAAGAAGATGGACAAATGCAACAAACTTCTGATTTGGAGTAAATTCAAGGAATCTGGATATGTCACAGCTTATGGAGAGGATTACCTGCATTTACCAGATACGTTTAAAAAGCCTTTCGCGTTTCATCGCCCGCCCACTGATCACTACCTTAGGACCTTTTTCCTTCACGGTGAAACTATACACTACAAACGAAATTACTCTATTGTGTGCAACGAAAAGGCACCTTCTGGACAGCATTTATTAGATTTTGCGGTGGATTTTGCCACCACTTACAGACGATCCTCATTCTTCGGTGTATTTCGAATGAATTCCTACAGCCACGACCCGCTGCAGCATCCTCAATATGCGGATAAAATGTTCGAAAACTTCTTTAATCAGCTGTCTTACACAGGAGTCTTGGAAAACACATTTGTAATATTTTTCAGCGACCATGGACCTAGGTTTGGTAAATATCGTTTGCATGGGGAATCCTACTATGAGGATAGAATGCCAGCGCTTTTCATGTGGGTACCAAGCAGATTTAAGGGACAGCAATCACTGCTCTACAGGTCATCCGTTGCAAACGAATTTAAGTTGCTCACTCCATATGATTTGTATAATACGTTAGTTGCAATTCACGGCATATCCCATTCATTCAATTACACTGGGGATTTTTCTGAAGGTTGCCCAAAATGCCGTAGTATTTTCAATGTTGTTAGCCTAAACCGTACTTGCGATGACGTCGGTATCCATATGAAGTGGTGTAGCTGCCATAGGTTATATCCCCTTGAGGTTCATGACTCCGAGGGCATTAAGAGCGTTCTTCATGCAGTGAAAGAAATAAAGATAATGGTTCAGAACTTCAGAACTAAACCGTGTTGGTCGTGCCAAAATGTAAATCTTCAAAAGATTTTGAGGATTCACTTTTATTATAGTCACTTTACTTTATATTACGTGACAGCATTTTCTTTGACGCCTGGTAACATCACAGTGGAGGCTACCGTGTCTCGGAAGGACACGACCATGGAAATGGTAGGGACGGTTAGCGTGATCGAATCTCACAAAAGTGCAGCTAACTGCACCATTAACGTTACGGATAGAACTTTTTGTACTTGTCGTAAGAAAGCTGAATGTACTTAATACTTTATAGAGTTTTAGATACCGATCTACCGAAAGAATTTGAATTGCTCTGAGGTAGACGACGCAAAAGGCAATACTACCACATACTACTAAGCATATTCTCGGTGTAAATTAATTTAGATAAGGCGGCCGGCGATACACACAAAACGAAAAAGTAGATAGCACGCTTGTTAACGGCATGTGCAAGTAGCTGGGGCAATTTGGATACACTTGCATGTGTCCTTGCGATTTGCGTACACCTCTTTTTACGTAGCTAAAAAAATAGACGTGTTAAAATAAATTAGTCTTCCATTTTTTAATTTTTACGTTTATTAAAATATAAATATACCTTTTATTAACACAGTTCATAATTAGGTATGTAGATACCACAATTTTGCCTGTTAAAAGCACTTTTGTACCTAATTAAATTAATTATAATAAGTACTAAATGTATACTTGCATTGTATACGAGTATGACTGTTATCACATATCATTATAGAGAATAATTTCAATATTCACAAATGTTATCTAACTCAATTAGGTCTATAAGTCTGCAGGATAGCTTCTTCATGAAATAATAATAATAATATATTATTTGTAATAAACTGATTAAAACTACATAAAATACTTATGATAATAATTTTGTACTTGAGCAACAATTAGTTTATTTTTACTTTTAGTATTGTCACAATAGGTAACAAAAAACACATTAGAATAAGGTAAAAAATACTTCAGTCATGACATAAGTTTAGATCTTTATTATTGAGATTATTCAAAATATTTTTTCTTGATAGGCATGGCGCATAGGCATTCAAATATTTTAATAAAAAACCATTTTAAATAAAAAAAAACCTATTCTGCACTTAGTAAAAAGTATAAGATATGCCAAGACTGTTTTATGTAATTACATGTAGCAAATAAATTTGTTTTTATAAACATAATTATAATTGTTGCAACATTAAAATACACTCATTGAGTAAGTAATAATTTTGCATCATGATTACATGAGCAGGAAACAGGATGTTATCATTTATCATAGTCAGTATAATATTACTATTACTTAACTAGTTTGGTATCTACATAGTAACTCTCTCAATTTTTAAATAATGCCTTTGAGCTCTTATTGAAATAAATACTTAATTTACTGAGAAAATGAGAAGGTTTAAATCAATACTGTAACAAAATTATACTTAACAAAAATAATATTTGCTAATTAAATACTTACACATGAGTTGGGAGGCACTGACTGGCTGAACTGGTAGTTAAATTTAAGCCAAAATGCTTTTACCCAAAATAGGAGATTGGGGTTTATTGGGGTACATCACAAATAGTGAAAGTTGAGCCATTGCTAAAGCTGCTCCTATGAAGTTCGGCACCTGAAAAACAACAAAAACATTCTTCAAAACTAGGAATATACAACATGGCACAACAACTCAAATCCTTTATTATTATGTACGCCATAATCAACCATATTAGTTTATCTCAAAGAAACTGTTTAAAAAGTTCACAAGATTTTTTTTGTAGCCAAATAGGTTCTCAATTTAATTATTTATTACTTTTTAATGATCTGACTAGAAGTCATAAAAATATACCAATTTACTGACCACCAAATATGTGTCATCTTGAATACAACCATACAGGAACCACAGAAATGATACGAAAAATGACATAAGTATCATTGGAAATGGCAAGCATTCTGTACTCTTCACTTTTAAGACGTAAAAAAGTTTACTCATCGGTGCGGCAATTGTTAACAGCGTTAGAGAGCATGCTAATAAACCTGGAAACAAATAATAAATTATTATATAATGTGTTCAATTGTATGTAACACAGTTATATGTTGCTAATTGACAAGTTTATTACTAGGAAGGAAGCAGTCTACCATTTTTATTAAGTACTAGCTGACCCGGCGAACTTCGTACCGCCTTAGCGTAGAGATTTTCTCAATATTTTTTTCCGTAAGAACCATCCTTGGACTTCCACAAACATTTAAAAAAAAGAATTATCGAAATCGGTTCAGCCGTTCACACGTGATGCCGTGACAACGCGAAACGGGTTTCATTTTTATATATATAGATATTATATCTATCTCTACGCTAAGGCGGTACGAAGTTCGCCGGGTCAGCTAGTTTCCTATATTAATTAGCTTTGTTTTATTTTATTACTTATTTTAATAACAATGTTTGTTTAATATTTTTATATGTACAATGAAAAAGATAAGTTAATACTAATTTTTGTCAGCATTCTATGTTATTAATAACTTTATTATTATTAGAACTTACTTTTTATATAAAATATTATTCTTACCTAATCTACCAAGTAGTTTTTCACTGTCCTCTTCTGTGTAAGCATAAACTATTATAAAGAGCAAAAGACTAAGTATTACAAATATTTGCTTCAATAATGAGGACTTCTTGAATGTGAAAACATAAAACACAGCTGTGTATGATGCCATGAGAGTCACACCTATAGCATTGACTAGTACTATTTTGTCGTCATGTTTTGTGAGACCATACAAAAGCCAAAAGCCAGCCCTGAAATAAAAATAAACATCCTTCAATAATTTAAAAACCTTTTTTTTCACTTGCTTAGAAGCTTGGTAATAGCAATAATACACTAGGAATAATAAATGACGAAAGTTTATTTTTTTAGAAGTAATAATTTATTGTGAATTTTAACCTAAGAAATATTCTTGAAGATGGTTATTAAAAATTACACCACTACATTTTGATATCTCCTACAAATAGGAACCTATCGTAGAAAACCTTAGTTATTTGGCAAAACGAACGAAAAATATTTAAAAAATTCTTACGATAGGACACCACATAAAAAAGGCAGTGGAGTTGCCTCGGCTGTTGTTTTATTCACCACATATTGCTTGCATACAAGGCTAAAATAAAAAGAACATTAAAATATGCGCAAACGAGGCCAAAATGTGTTTCAAACAATAGCTCAAATTTATTAGTTACGTACGTGCCGGACAGAAACTGTAAAATTGTAGTTATTACGGCTAAACTACTAATCAAATCCTTCAAATCTGATAAGTACATTGTTAATATTTAAATTTCAGTTGAAATGTACAAAGTCACCGTTAAATTGATTGGGTTATTATTTAATTTTATTGTGTATCATCTTTGTATTTTACTGCGATACACCGCTACAAAAACAATTCGTTGACAGATTTGACACTAATGACACTGACAATGACATACGTCGTGTGGATGATTAACCGATTCTTTTCTTTTGCAGAAAAAGCAAAGGCTTTACGCCACACTACACCACACAGACAAATGTTCAAAGAAATAAATTTAACTTTTTATAGCCTGACCAGGAACATAAAAACCCTCGCCATGTTGCGGAAAACTAATGGTACTAATTTCTTTTAATGGCAACAGTAACTGAAAACTTCATTGACATGTCACCTTGCATGTCAGTCTATTGCTGTCAAAGTGTAAACAAACTTTATTTTAAATGTGCGTAATTGATTTTGTGAATGAAATTCCTAAAATATTTTTATAGTCGTGAAAGAAAAGTGGTTCACAATGTGTTAAAGTATTTGTCGTTTTTCGTTAATTTATGAAAATATCAAATTAGCCCGTAAGCCTGAATCCTGATACATAAAGTTAGCCTATTAATTTAACACAGGTACGACTGTACTCAGTGTTGCACTATCAAATGCAATTGACGCGCCACTATGCCAGGGTTTTTATGTTCCTGGTCAGGCTTTATAAATATAACTTGAAGAATATTGAAGGGAAATTGACTCTAAACATCGCCATCTTCATTGTCGTAATCAATGATCATCATGAACATCATCGTCTCATCAAAATCAAACCTCTAAAACATAAAACAAACAAATCCACAGGCAACAAAAGCGTACAATTTCTAAAAAAAAACGTGTCTCAGAGCCCCGATTACGGAAACTTTTAACGTTTCCAATCCAGAGCCCCGATTACGGTAACTTTTAACGTTTCCAATCCAGACACGCTTCTCGATTCTGCGATACGATTGGTCGTTCAACAGCGTATAGTTCCAAAATACTGGACTGTCCTGTCGATGACATTGACAGTGGGGCGCCACCGTCAATACCGGATCGCTGGTTCAGATTTTTGCCATGTTGGAAACCATATATTTGAACGATGGTAGCGCCCCCCTGTCATTGAGTTTGGCGGGACAGTTCAGCGTGGGTCATCTATACGTCAGCTGTTTTGACCAATCGTAATTCGTATCGCAGAATCGATGAAGCGCGTCTGGATTGTAGACGTTAAAAGTTACCGTAATCGGGGCTCAGACACGCTTCTTCGATTCTGCGATACGATTGGTCAAAACAGCTGACGTACGCTGTTGAACGACCAATGGTATCGCAGAATCGAGAAGCGTGTCTGGATTGTTGACGTTAAAAATTACCGTAATCGGGGCTCAGGGCTGCCAGCTCTCACGTCGGTTCCATTCGGTTTACGATACGAACTCGAGTCAGAGGGAATTCAACTCAAGTGGGTTCGAGTTACGCCCAAACCGAGTTAACCTGAGCCCCGATTACGGTAACTTTTAACGTCTACAATCCAGACGCGTTTCTGATTCTGCGATACGATTGGTCAAAACAGCTGACGTACGCTGTTGAACGACCAATCGTATCGCAGAATCGAGAAGCGTGTCTGGATTGTTGACGTTAAAAATTACCGTAATCGGGGCTCTGAGTTGAGTTACCTACTCGTGTTGACCATCACTATTATAGATTATAAAAAAAATCCGCTGGCCTCAAGAATTTTTTTGGTTTTCAGTGTTGCCAGAAGGTTACTTTTGTAACCTTTTAGGTTACTTTTGAACTGCAGTGGTTACTTTTAGGTTACACTAATGAAAAGGTTACTTTTAGGTGATTTTTCAGAAATTGTAGAATTAACTTTTACAGGTTATTCAGTAAAAAATATTAATAGTGACAATTTAAAAATTATGTCATAAAGTGCATTTACACTTGAATTTGATTTATTATTTGTTAAAAAAAATGAGTTTTCGCGAATGTTTTTCGATAATAAAACGCAAATCCATGAAACGTTTTTATACGACTGACTGGTCACTTTTCGAATTTAGATGATCAATTGTATTCATTTTCCATCCATGAAATGTCNGATACACCGCTACAAAAACAATTCGTTGACAGATTTGACACTAATGACACTGACAATGACATACGTCGTGTGGATGATTAACCGATTCTTTTCTTTTGCAGAAAAAGCAAAGGCTTTACGCCACACTACACCACACAGACAAATGTTCAAAGAAATAAATTTAACTTTTTATAGCCTGACCAGGAACATAAAAACCCTCGCCATGTTGCGGAAAACTAATGGTACTAATTTCTTTTAATGGCAACAGTAACTGAAAACTTCATTGACATGTCACCTTGCATGTCAGTCTATTGCTGTCAAAGTGTAAACAAACTTTATTTTAAATGTGCGTAATTGATTTTGTGAATGAAATTCCTAAAATATTTTTATAGTCGTGAAAGAAAAGTGGTTCACAATGTGTTAAAGTATTTGTCGAAGAGAAATACCAAGGTTTCGGACAATATTTTCATTGAATAATGTTTCCAACAAAGGTTGTCAAATTGACTGACATGTTTACAGTGTTGCCAGAAGGTTACTTTTGTAACCTTTTAGGTTACTTTTGAACTGCATTGGTTACTTTTAGGTTACACTAATGAAAAGGTTACTTTTAGGTGATTTTTCAGAAATTGTAGAAATAACTTTTACAGGTTAATCAGTAAAAAATATTTATAGTAACAATTTAAAAATGATGTCATAAACTGCATTTAAACATGAATTTGATTTATTATTTGTTAAAAAAATGAGATTTAGCGAATGTTTTTCGATAATGAAATGCAAATCCATGAAACGTTTTTATACGACCGCGACCGGTCACTTTTCGGTCTTCATGGAATGGTCAAATGGTCAAATTTTAAATTTCGGTAAACGATCGATGATCAATTGTATTCATTTTCCATCCATGAACAATCGCTCCCCCCCCCCGTATGAAGGTTACTTTTTATTCAAAAAGGTTACATTTTTTCATATTTCTGGTAATTTCTGACAAGATCCGACTGGCAACACTGTTCTTGACTTTTGAGCAGTGTTTGTTTGAGTCAGTGAAATCTACTAAAAATATTGTAAACCGAAAGAAAATAAACTTGTATTTTTACTGTGGTTCGTGTGTGTGTTTAAAAATGATTAATTGTTTAAATTATACAAAAATATTTTCTGCTGATTCGATAATATTTTAAACATGGGAAATTATTAAAAATCTATCATGAAATCGTTCAAGCTCATCGTGCATCAGTCCAGCTTCAGCCGTAAGTATTTATTACATTATTCTTCTTAAAATATCCTTTTAAGTTTAAGATTCCTCATAATACTTTTGTTACAGCTGTGGATCTCATAATTAACCTAAAGGATTATCCAGGGTTGAAAGAAAAAGATATTGTAGAAATTTACCATCCTGAAAATGATTATCCACGTTTATTATTGCAAGTTACAAAAGTGGATGTGCCTGGAAGAGGACGAGGTAAGTTTTTGCAGCATGCCAGTCATAAAAAATATATTTTTCTAATGTAAGACCATGACTTTTTTATAAAAATAAAAAAAACAATATTTTTTATAAAAACTAACTATTGATTCTCAACCCCGCTTCCTGATAAATGATGATGTATGATAATCGATTCGAAATAATTTATACGAATCACACAAAATACCTCCATTATGAATATGAGGATAGGAATATTCTTTACTATTATCAGAGTAAGATGGTCGTAAACCCTGTGTTTTTGTTTTTTAAATATTACATGATAAAAGACCTTTACTCCCAATCAGAAATATTTACATAAATAAATAAGACATGTCACATAATTTATTGTTAATTAATTCATTAACAATGATGATAAGGTCTTAATCGTGGAGTAGTACTAATATATTTAACAGTCTATTATTGGATCTCTAATGGAATACCTAAACCATTACTTGACAATTTGTTTAAATATTATTACAAAGAACCTGTGTTGAAAATTTGACATGTAATGAATATTAAAAATTTATTCTTAGGGACCTACTATGAGAGTATGATATCATAGGATACATATTCCCCCTTCATGCCTGAACAACAGACTTATTTTGTATTCAGTCAATCTTAATATAGAGATTATCGATTATTTGTAGATACAATCAGTGTGGAACAGAGCATCGCGACCACATTCCAACTTAGGACCTTTGCCGATGTTTACGTTAATATCGTCAATGTCACTGAAGTGGCTCTGGACTCAGTGGAGCTCACGTTCAAAGACCAATACATGGGCAGATCTGAAATGTGGAGGTTGAAAAATCACTTGGTAAGGATTTGTATTCTGATGTGCTGTCAACAGTACCTACCTACATAAAATATAGTATGACGTACTACATAGTAATAGTAGTACTATGCAAGCAAATTGATTTCATTGGTTTTATCTAAAAGAATATACCACTCAATTTGTCAATGAGACAAACAACATTGGTAAATAAACAATGTCTTTGTGATTTCAGGTTAGCACTTGTGTGTATTTAAACAAAAAGATTGAATACTGTGGCGGAGCTATAAGATGCCAAGTATATGAGATGTGGTCACAAGGAGACCGAGTGGCGTGCGGGGTGATTACGGAAGACACAAAGATTGTATTCAGGTCATCCACTTCTATGGTCTATCTGTTTATTCAGATGTCATCCGAGATGTGGGATTTTGACATACATGGTGATTTATATTTTGAAAAAGCTGTTAATGGCTTTCTTGCTGATCTCTTTGCTAAATGGAAGGTATGTCTAAGCAAATAATCTCTTCAATAGATATCTTCATCTATTTCTGCAGCTGTAATAATTACAGGATTTGTCTATAAATAATAATTTTTGAAATATTGTTTACAGAAAAATGGAAGTAACCATGAAGTTACCATAGTACTGTTCTCTAGAACATTTTATAAGGCCAAGTCTTTAGAAGAATTTCCTCAGCACATGAAAGAGTGTTTACAAAAAGACTATAGGGGGAGGTTCTATGAAGACTTTTACAGGTATACATAAATTTTATCTATAGTACAGTATGTATTAAAAGCTAACTAATCTTGCATATAAAGTTCTAAAAAATATGTATTTAAAAAAATCTTTTTAGAGTTGCGGTACAAAATGAGAGGTATGAAGACTGGTCAAATGTTCTACTGCAGTTACGAAGACTGTTCACAGATTATCAAAAGATAGTTCTACAATATCACGAAAGACCCAACATGGAAATCCCCACGGCAATCAATTCCACTGCTGCCCAAGGGAACTTTTTAGAAGTCCTCAATATGAGTTTAAATGGCAAGTACTTGTAGATGTATTTTTCTGATATTTACGGTATGCGAATGGAAATGTTTCAGTTGATAACAAAATTAATAGACCCATTATTATTATCATTAATTTTATTCTACTTTTCTTATTTATGGTTTTAAATAAAGTTGGAATAACGATAAATGATTTATAGTACCAATTAGTGATTACACAATATGAGAAAAATAAAGTGTATTCATGCCAGTAAATTAGACCCGTATCTTCCCAGTCATGTAATAATATTGTTTTTTCAATTTCAGTGTTTGAAAAGCACTATCTGGACAGATGTTTCGACAGAACGGGACAGTTGAGCGTGGTCATAACCCCAGGCGTCGGAGTTTTCGAAGTCGACAGGGAACTGACCAACGTTACCAAGCAACGAATCATAGACAACGGAGTCGGAAGCGACTTGGTTTGCGTCGGCGAACAACCGCTACACGCGGTCCCGCTCCTCAAATTCCACAACAAAGACAACAACCTCAATTCCATAGACGACTACTCTATGCCCCATTGGATCAACTTGTCTTTTTATTCCACGAACAAAAAGGTCGCATATTCAAACTTCATTCCGAGAATCAAATTGCCGCCGCGGAAAAGTCAGGAGCCTCTGAAGAAAATGTATGAGGATGAACGCAAAGGGAAACTGGTGAAGGAAGACGAGTACATGCACAACTCGATATTTGACTACGATGCGTATGACGCTCAAGTATTTCAATTGCCGCCGGCTCACAGCACTTGGTAATAATTTGATAATAGTTTAATAATTTTATTATACTTGCTAAAATCTATTTATACATAGTTGGTTACCCATAGCGAAATGTGTTTATCTAACTAATTTAGTATTAGTTAGATTCATAAAATACAATAATTATAACCAAGACCAACCAAATATTACGAATGTACCTACAAAATTTCTGAACACCGCTTTGGAGTGCGTGCCATCGCTAGTAGAAGCTACATTTTATGTTAGTGCCACTATCTCATGTATTTAAATTCTGCCGCTGTATTTCCCAGTGTTAGGCTAAGAACTCACGGCGCGATTTTCAACCGCGCCCGCGGCGGTTGTGGTATTGCGGTTTTATTTCAAAAGTCACGGGAGTGGTTATTTGCGCGGTTATTCTAAGAACTCACGGCGCGATTTTCGCGCTAAGTCACTGGTACAAAATGGTCGCCTGCCGATCGAGCTCAGAACGCGTGGGCGAAAACCGCCGAGACTGCGGTTACCGCTGCCCGCGAGATTCTACTATAGTCTGGTCCGTGAGCACGTAGAATTTTGTCCAATGACCCCTAGCTCTCGCACACTCACTGCGGGTGCCAGTCACACAGTCGCGACAGCAATATAATTACGCGCGAGCGATAAGGATGGGTAGCTAGGAGTCATTGGACAAAATTCTATGTGCTCACGGACCGGGCTTTAGTCGCCCGCCGGTGTCGCGGGACCCGCATATAACTGCGCCCGCTGCGGGCGCAAACCGCGTCGTGAGTTGTGCATTAGTTTTTACATAAGTATCTGCATTCTACAGAAGCTGTGGGCCCGCAACCGACGCGGGCGCGGGTTAAAATCGCACCATGAGTTCTTAGCCTTATACGCCTTGAAGCACCGTTCGTTGCGATTAAATATCGCTCTGGGCGCACAAACAAAGGCTAGATAATTGCCACAGATTATGATTTCCAAGTGTACGAAAACCTGATTTGTCACTCAGGCGTTTATGCTTGCAACGGTTTGTGGCAACAAACCAAAAAAGCAACAATACTATAATTGCATCAGCACACGTTATTTCGTGTATATTTGTTTACATGTTTTACTGTTTACATTTCAGTGTACAAAAAGTGAATAGAACGAAGAAGACTTCTGTGGCAGGTTTGGAGGGAATAAACAGAAGGAGCCCTCCCGCTTCACACCACAGGAAAATGTCCGACCCGGACATACATCATAGTCTAGGGGACATGTTGACGATTAGTGCAAGTAAGCATCTACAATAACTTGAATAAGGCTTATTCGTAAATATAAATATACAACATGCCACTTATAATTTGTATCACACAATAGTAATTTAGCAAAACTGTTCGAACTGTATAGTTACACTAGATGTGTCAGCGACTTTTCTAGATTTCGCAACAACTTTCATGAAGCTCGGCTCAGTGGCGTAACTATACCATCCAAGGCCCGTGGCATATGCTGTGCGTGCATGGAGCCCTTGGCGTATCTGGCCCTATATTATTATAGTATAGATGTATGTATGAGATTAAAAAAAATTAAAACAAATAAAACTTATTTATAACTTAAACAGAACGCTTGGTTCCAGACAAGCCAGCCGCATACGATTCCAGCAGCGACGTGCCCGATTCCCCACTGGCTTCAAACCGGCTATCCCCAAGGAGTTCTATCTCGTCACACAAGCCGGTTATCCGGACCGGTCGTGCACTGATCAATCCGTTCGACCCCTCTCACGTTACTGTCAAACTGACCAGTAACAGGCGAAGGTGGACGCATATATTCCCTAAAGGTAATATCGTAATTCCAGTTGTTTATCATCATCATCATCATCATCAGGTCAATAAGTCTCCACTGCAGGAACATTGTTGTGTACGTTTGGTTAATCGAGTATTTTCGGGTAAGTGGGTGATTAACCCGCTGTACCCTAGTCCGGTGGACTGTTGTGGACGCCCTCTGCCCCATCTAGGGGACATAGGACCATAAGTCAAGTAAGTCAAGCAGGAGCATTACCCACTACAAGAGGCAAATGGATAAATTGGTCTACACTATCTATGCCGGCCAGATTGACTGTGTGGTGAAAGCATAAAATGCACTTCACTTGGCCTAATAAACTGTCATTTAATCAGAAAAATATCAATAACCACTTTAAAAATCTTACTTTTAAAAAATTCAATTACGAAATATGTATGTTTGGATTTAGGAAATATCATAAAAAAACTATAAGTCATCTTAGTTCTTTATTATGTCTTCAAATATGTACGCGTATTACAAATTCTTGTTTGTTAATTATTCTTCTCTTAGTATGAACCCTTTAGCAAGATTTAATATATGAGTGTCATATACTCTCTCTCACTCTACTTATTGAGCAAGATTTACTGTTTTAACAATCACTCATCCAGGTCCCACGGGAGTGCTGATACAACAGCACCACTACCAAGCGCGACCTGCCGGAGAACCGACCTCCAGGCCTGATCACCTTCGGGAGCCCAAGGAGAATGGATCGTCCATCGGGAACAACAATCACCCTATATACCAAGTTGATGGTGAGCATTGAAAACAAATTAATTTAAATAGACTTCTATAAAAGATAAGAGATCTGTTTTCAGGTGTCAGGTGTTAGGGTTGAATATTTTATTTATAACTCTGGTAACATAACTGACTTACTTTTTATCACTCGTATTTATAAATATTAAAGGTGAATTCGATCAAACAAGAGTAAATAATATTAATCTCAGAATAAATCGTCAGTTTTGACATATTTCCCATACTGAAGCTGTCAATGTGCCAGTTATACCAGGAGTTATTCTCGGATAAAAGTTTGGTCGAATCGGGACTTACAAGTATTATACCGCTGAAGATTGATTTTAAGTATGTTATATAAAGAAACAAAACAGTGATTTTCTAGAATAAGGTTTAATTTTTTCTTGTTTTACTCTCAGAATACAGAACAAACCAGAAGGAGTGTTCGATAACATTTCTACGCGGCAACTTGTGTCCAAAATACTTCCCCTCCCGCGCCCCTCTACCCCCTTTAGTGTTACTAGCGCCGTGTGACACCCCCATTTTTGGCGTAAAATTATGTAATTTTTTTAAGGGATGTTAAACAAGTAAAAAATAAGTAGGGTCAGGGANGCAAATATCTAGTAAAACTATCTTCAATAATTATTTTAAAAACATATTATGTAAAAAAATATGACAAGTTTTTATTGTCCTTGAGGAGACATGTAAAGAGCCTTTTTAAGGCTACATTTTTTGTATTATTTAATTTGACATCCATAATTGAATAAAAATACTTCATTTCTATTGGTTACACATCTGTTTTGTATCATCAGAGACTCTCGCATTGGCAACACTAATGCTGGAGCAAAAGATGGCAGTCCACGCACACCATTTCAATCGCATCATTAGTCCACACATTGAGAAGATCATACCTGAAATTTAAAAAGATATTTGATTTAGATAATGTTTATTTCCAAGAATATGGTACAATGGTTTGATCTTTATTTATAAATAAATAGGTACCTATAGAAGTTTTTATTACCTACTATAATATTTTACAAAGTACTGATATTCAATGTGCCTCTTACCATTCGGTGATCGCTTCCTGTTTTGACCGAGTTGATCACAGAGACATCATTGAATATATGCTTCTTCGTCGACAAGATGAAGTCGATCTCATTTTTTGTAGCGCCATTGGGATGCAGCCATGTCCACTTTCGCTGTTTTGGCTTCCTGAAGAAGGAGTTCATCATAAAGAGGCCCTCCCTCTCCATAAAGCCAGCCAGCAGTTGGCCACGTGCGTTCCTCTCTCCGTACCCAAATTGCCCCACTTTCAGCTCATTATCGCTTCGTATTCCCAGCTTCGCGTTGAAGTCCCCCATCACAACGGTAAAATGGGACCGGGAGCTATGTATGGCTCTGGAAATATCCTCATACATAGTCTCCACTTCGTCGTCGGGGTGTTCCGTGGTCGGTGCGTATACCTGTATGACCTTCAGCGAATACCGTTTGGTGATTCTGAGTATAAGGTATGCTACCCTCGCCGAAACACTCTCGATCTGTACCACGTTGTTGATAAGGGACTTGTGAACGATAAACCCGACACCACCCTGGGACTGCTGGTCGCCCTCCCGGAAATAGAGCAGGTTTCCGGATTTGAGGATTATGGTGTCCTCCCCCTCTCTTCGGACTTCACATAATCCTACGATATCCCACCGTAACCTGCTCAATTCTTCCTCGAGTTCCACTAGCTTCACGTCTGTACGCAGTGTGCGAGCGTTGAAGGTTGCCAGGGCCAGAGGTCGTCGGTGTTGGTAGCTTGGCATCCCCCGGGGATTCTTCGCACCCCTTGCCCCACCGTTACCGTGACCGCTACCGTGGTCCGGGATAGTGGGGCCGCCGGGGACTAGGGGCCGTTTTATTGTGTGTACAACCATTTTGGAGGGTTTTGCCCTAATCGCCACGCTTGGCAGGCGGGTTGGCGATCGCAGTTTTTTGTTTGGTTTCGCACGCAGACGCTGCTGCCCGTCTGGTGCTACAGGGGTTTTGTCGCCTCTTACGACACGCCTCCTGTCGGCGGTGGGGAAAAGTATTCTTTTACGGCCGTCCCCACACGGCAATGTTAACACTAATATATTTAACAGTCTATTATTGGATCTCTAATGGAATACCTAAACCATTACTTGACAATTTGTTTAAATATTATTACAAAGAACCTGTGTTGAAATTTTGACATGTAATGAATATTAAAAATTTATTCTTAGGGACCTACTGTTAGAGTATGATTTCTAAATATTTTAGATCTTTGATATTTAAGTCATAGGATATACATATTCCCCCTTATTGCTTGAACAACAGACTTATTTTGTATTCAGTCAATGTTTTGTAAAAACTTAATATAGAGATTATCGATTATTTGTAGATACAATCAGTGTGGAACAGAGCATCGCGACCACATTCCAACTTAGGACCTTTGCCGATGTTTATGTTAATATCGTCAATGTCACTGAAGTGGCTCTGGACTCAGTGGAGCTCACGTTCAAAGACCAGTACATGGGCAGATCTGAAATGTGGAGGTTGAAAAATCACTTGGTAAGGATTATGATTTATGGAGCACATTAAGCTAAACATTCTGGTGTCTATGTAGTTGAATTAGGTGCTGTTTTACAACAAAAATGTGTATTCGTATGTGCTGTCAACTGTACCTACATAAAATATAGTGACATACTACATTGTAATAGTAGTACTATGCAAGCAAATTGATTTAATTGATTTTATGTAACAATAATTTTATCTCGCGGGAAGTACCTGGATGCAAGCGGCGCAGGACCGGTCTTTGTGGAAATCCTTGGGGGAGGCCTTTGTCCAGCAGTGGACGTCTTTCGGCTGAAACGAACGAATTTTATCTATCGACAAACAATATTGGTACTTAAATAAACAATGTCTTTGTGATTTCAGGTTAGCACTTGTGTGTATTTAAACAAAAAGATTGAATACTGTGGCGGAGCTATAAGATGCCAAGTATACGAGATGTGGTCACAAGGAGATCGAGTGGCTTGCGGGGTGATTACAGAAGACACAAAGATTGTATTCAGGTCATCCACTTCTATGGTCTATCTGTTTATTCAGATGTCATCCGAAATGTGGGATTTTGACATACATGGTGATTTATATTTTGAAAAAGCTGTTAATGGCTTTCTTGCTGATCTCTTTGCTAAATGGAAGGTATGTCTAAGCAAATAATCTCTTCAATAGATATCTTCATATATTTCTGCAGCTCTAATTGATTTGTCTATAAATAATTTTTGAAATATTGTTTACAGAAAAATGGAAGTAACCATGAAGTTACCATAGTACTGTTCTCTAGAACATTTTATAAGGCCAAGTCTTTAGAGGAATTTCCTCAGCACATGAAAGAGTGTTTACAAAAAGACTATAGGGGGAGGTTCTATGAAGACTTTTACAGGTATACATAAAGAAATTTATGTATAGTACAGTATGTGTTAAAAGCTAACTAATCTAGTATAAAAGTTCTAAAAAATATATATTTGAAAAATTATTTTAGAGTGGCAGTACAAAATGAGAGGTATGAAGACTGGTCAAATGTTCTACTGCAGTTACGAAGACTGTTCACAGATTATCAAAAGATAGTTCTACAATATCACGAAAGACCCAACATGGAAATCCCCACGGCAATAAATTCCACTGCTGCCCAAGGGAACTTTTTAGAAGTCCTCAATATGAGTTTAAATGGCAAGTACTTGTACATGTATTTTTCTGATATTTACTGTATGCTCATATAATGGAAATGTTTCTGTTCATAACAAAATTAATGGACCCATTATTATTATCATTAATTTTATTCTTTCTTTAGTTCAGTTATAAAGTTGGAACAATGATAATGATTTATAGTACCAATTAAAGTGATTACAAAATATGAGAAAAATAAAGCGCAAAATTGCATTCAATTCCCTCAAATATATCTGTATTATGATTCATGTTAGTAAATGAGACCCCTTCCTAGTCATGTAAATTAATATTGCTTTTACAATTTCAGTGTTTGAAAAGCACTATCTGGACAGATGTTTCGACAGAACGGGACAGTTGAGCGTGGTCATAACCCCAGGCGTCGGAGTTTTCGAAGTCGACAGGGAACTGACCAACGTCACCAAGCAACGAATCATAGACAACGGAGTCGGAAGCGACTTGGTTTGCGTCGGCGAACAACCGCTACACGCGGTCCCGCTCCTCAAATTCCACAACAAAGACAACAACCTCAATTCCATAGACGACTACTCTATGCCCCATTGGATCAACTTGTCTTTTTATTCCACGAACAAAAAGGTCGCATATTCAAACTTCATTCCGAGAATCAAATTGCCGCCGCGGAAAAGCCAGGAGCCTCTGAAGAAAATGTATGAGGATGAACGCAAAGGGAAACTGGTGAAGGAAGACGAGTACATGCACAACTCGATATTTGACTACGATGCGTATGATGCTCAAGTGTTTCAATTGCCGCCGGCTCACAGCACTTGGTAATAATATTTTAATATTTTTTTAATTTTAGTTGTTTACCCATAGCGAAATGTGTTTGTACTATTTTAGTTAGATTCATAAAATACAACAATTATAACCAAGACCAACCAAATATTAAAATTATGTAGGTACGAATGTACTGTGTTAATTTCTGAACACCGCTTTGGAGTGCGTGCCATCGTTAGTAGAAGCTACATTTTAGGTTAGTACCACTATCTCATGCATTTGAATTCTGCCGCTGTATTTCCCAGTGTTAGGCTAAGGACTCACGGCGCGATTTTCACCTGCGCCCGCGGCGGTTGTGGAATTGCGGTTTTATTTCAAAACTCACGGGAGCGGTTATTTACGCGGTTATTCTAAGAACTCACGGCGCGATTTTCGCGCTAAGTCACTGGTACAAAATGGTCGCCTGCCGATCGAGCGCAGAGCGCGCGGGCGAAAACCACCGAGACTGCGGTTACCGCGGCCCGCGAGATTCTACTATAGTCTGGTCCGTGATCACGTAGAATTTTGTCCAATGACCCCTAGCTACCCATCCTTATCGCTCGCGCGTAATTATGTTGCTATCGCTCTCGCACACTCACTGCGGGTGCCAGTCACACAGTCGCGACAGCAATATAATTACGCGCGAGCGATAAGGATGGGTAGCTAGGGGTCATTGGACAAAATTCTACGTGCTCACGGACCGGGCTTTAATCGCCCGCTGGTGTCGCGGGACCCGCATACAACCGTGCCCGCTGCTGGCGCAAACCGCGTCGTGAGTTGTATTAGTTTTTACATAAGTATCTGCATTCTACAGAAGCTGCGGGCCCGCAACCGACGCGGGCGCGGGTTAAAATCGCACCATGAGTTCTTAGCCTTATACGCCTTGAAGCACCGTTCGTTGCGATTAAATATCGCTCTGGGCGCACAAACAAAGGCTAGATAATTGCCACAGATTATGATTTCCAAGTGTACGAAAACCTGATTTGTCACTCAGGCGTTTATGCTTGCAACGGTTTGTGGCAACAAACCAAAAAAGCAACAATACTATAATTGCATCAGCACTCGTATATTTGTTTACATGTTTCACTGTTTACATTTCAGTGTACAAAAAGTGAATAGAACGAAGAAGACTTCTGTGGCAGGCTTGGAGGGAATAAACAGAAGGAGCCCTCCCGCTTCACACCACAGGAAAATGTCCGACCCGGACATACATCATAGTCTAGGGGACATGTTGACGATTAGTGCAAGTAAGCATCTACAATAACTTGAATAAGGCTTATTCGTAAATATAAATATACAACATGGAACTTATAATTTGTATCACACACAATAGTAACTTAGCAAAACTGTTCGAACTGTATGGTTACTGATGTACCAGCGACTTTTCTTGATTTCGCAACAACTTTCATGATGCTCGGCTCAGTGGCGTAACTATACCATCCGAGGCCCGTGGCAAATGCTGTGCGTGCATGGGGCCCTATATTATTATAGTACAGATGTATGTATGAGATTAAAACAATTTGTATGTTTACCTTGAAAACAAACAAAACTTATTTATAACTTAAACAGAACGCTTGGTTCCAGACAAGCCAGCCGCATACGATTCCAGCAGCGACGTGCCTGACTCCCCACTGGCTTCAAACCGGCTATCCCCGAGGAGTTCGATCTCGTCACACAAGCCGGTTATCCGGACCGGTCGTGCACTGATCAATCCGTTCGACCCCTCTCACGTTACTGTCAAACTGACCAGTAACAGACGAAGATGGACGCATATATTCCCTAAAGGTAATATTGTGATTTTGGTCTTGTATCATCATCAGATAATTTTAGTGTCCACTGCAGAAGCGCTACCCAGTTCTCTAATTTACAAGAGGTTAATGGATAAATTGGTCTACACTACCCATGCTGGCCAGACTGGGCTCTTATTATGTGAATCCATAAAATGAATTTAATCATATAAAAGTATCACCTAAAAAAAATCGATTACGAAACATGTATGTTTCGATTCAATGGGGCTAGCTGGCGCTGATTGAAACTGTCCAAAGATGTATTTATTTAATTTGAAATACATTGAAATTAAAAAACTATATCTTGGCCATAAAGCCAAACAGGGTAAACTGCCAGTCATTGGACACTTAAGAAAGTTATTGGACAGTTATTTACTGAATTTAAAATAGCATTTCTATTTCAACAACTGAGAGATTCCGATTGATGGAGATAAAAGGGCGTTTTTTGAAGGAATATTCATTTTAAGAAAATTCAAGGGTTGTTTTGTCCAATGACTGGCAGCGTCCAATGACTGTCGGTTTACCTATATATTTTTAAATATTTATCGCAATTGTTGTTTTTTAATTATTCTTCTCTGATCGTCCTATACTCTTTCTCATTCTACTCATTTAGCAAGATTTTCTGTTTTTACAATCACTCATCCAGGTCCCACGGGAGTGCTAATACAACAGCACCACTACCAAGCGCGACCTGCCGGAGAACCGACCTCCAGGCCTGACCACCTCCGGGAGCCCAAGGAGAACGGATCGTCCATCGGGAACAACAATCACCCAATATACCAAGTTGATGGTGAGCATTATGAACAAAATAATTTAACTAGATAAATTTAATTCTATATTAGATAAGAGATCAGTTTTCAGGTGACAGGCTTGAATGTTTTATTTATATTTCTCGTAAGTTGTGAAATGACTTTATAGTACCTACTCGTATTTATAAATATCTAGAAGTATTATAGTGCTGAAGATTGATTGATTGATACAAAACAGTCCTTTTCAAGAATAATTGGTAATTTTTTTCTTGTCTTACTGTAACTTTACTCTAAACACATTTGTTAATATCCGATAGTTTCGCTTACTGAAAGTATCCTACTTTAGTTATTATTTGACTTTGTTCCAGGAAAAATATCTGATTTATATTCTCAAATCATTATTTTACCATTTTAAATAGATATTTTGACAGGTAACGTGATTGGGCGCAAGCGCATGATCAGTACGTCGAATACAGGGGGCGTGTTTGGAGCCGCCTTAGGGCCTCCATCCACTACTAACAACGCGTCGCTTGCCCTACTGTGGGGCGCGACGGGAGAACAGGAGTGGACGCCCGCCCTTACCACAGGTTGGTGCTGCCATCTTGAAAATGTGTTTTTGTGACGTCAACTAGAAAGTGAACGTGTGAGTGAGGTGTTGATTGGTCGATGAACAGTATTGAAGTTTAAAATAGATTAAAAACTTTGTTATTATGTTAAAAAATTCTCTGAGATTACATTCATTTATTTTTTATGCATGATAAAACAAAAAAACTGCATTATTCAATACTTGTACATCATTGTTGAGATTTTGTTTCCAATTACCTGACTATAATAATATCAGACTATAATATCATTCATGTGTGTATGTAAATCATCAACAACCTAACAAATTTCAGTAAATTGGAGGGGTGATTGGAACATCGAATCATCTACATAATGAAGAGTCCATATAATTGATGTATTTTGGGTTATCAATATTATATAGCTTTATTGAAATGTGGCATATGTTTTTAAATAGCCCGTTTATCAGCGATGTTAAATGTTCATATCATTTTTAATGTTTCATGGTACCTATCGCCGCATTGATACCGTGCCTCCGATCGCAACGCGAAGCGAACCGAGCCATAGGTTTGATATATCATTGGATTTGCATCGAGTAGTTACTGCATACAGCCTGAGTGCAAAGACTAGACATCTTAGCGATGCTTCGCTGTAGATGGCACTAACACGCATTTAGATGTTCTTATGTCCCCTTATATTGTCACTAAAATTTATGTTATTGTCCAACTAATATTGTGAGGTAAGTTAAAACTATTTATGTTGGTAACATATAGCCCTGGAAACATTCATAAGTTATGGACGCTTGAAGCCTTCTAAATTAAAATACGTAATAGAAAACAAAAAAAAAAAACATTTTTTTGTATTTTTTATTGTGCGATAATATTAACCGCTTGAGTTATCAGTAGGTGACAGCCCTTTAATAAACTATACGTTAATTTAAAATAAAAAAGTGAAAATAATTATAAAAAATAGTTTAGATAGATGTTCAAAGCAATTTCGTTAAGATGTTTAGTCTCAAATAAAACGCACAGGCTTTAAAAGTGATTAATACTAGCTATTGGGGACTGTAGTTACAATTTATTGGAAACGCTTCATAGATTACAAAATTCAGGCTAGTTCGATACGAATAGTTAATCAGTTCTAAACAAATATGTGATGCAATCATGCTTATTCAAAAATAATGTTACTCTGGCTGCAAATAATACCATGTTTCTAAAAATATATTTTTAATATCCATGTGTGTTTGCATGTTTTCCGTGTTTTAATCAGCATGAGCTTTGGCTGTCGAAAATGCTATGAAACCTTAAATTTTTTTTAATTTTCTTATTATAAAAGACCGATATTACGTCCATTTTTCATATGCATCCTCATTATTATTGGATTCACTCTTGTGATCTTTCTATAGAAATATTTCATTCACTACACAACATTATTCATGTCACATAATAGATTTTGTGTCACAGAAAAGCATGTACTAATTTAAACATTCTAAAATTCAATATTAAAATTGTTCAAAATAAATAGTTGAGGTAAAAGAAGAATTCAACCATAGTAAATTTTCGCCAAGTATGGCCATTATTCAGAAGAAAATAAAAATAGAGTTATAAAACTAACATCAATCATCTATTTAGGTGTGGACTGGAAATCACTCACGATCCCGGCATGTTTGCCGATCACGACCGACTATTTCCCCGACAAGCGGTCGCTGCAGAACGACTATCTGGTGTCGGACTACAATCTGTTGCCTGACGACGTTAACGCCGACTTTGCGCAGAACAGAGCAATTTACAAAGAGCCGCTCACTACTATGGAAGTTTTTAAAGAGTTGGTCTCGCAGAGATTGGCGCAGGTAAATCTTTCGTAGAATCAGTTTTTATAAAAAGTTGATAAACTTGCTAAGCTTCTGTCGCATTTATTTGTGCCGGCTGTAAAAGAGGTCTTGATGCTATTTTCGTATTTTTAGTCTTTATATTTTGTATTGCGGCCTCAGCATTGAGTTTGATCAATGACCGTGTATCATTTTTATAATTAGGGTTCCGTATTATAAATTAGAGACCCCATATCTTACTAAGGGCCTTTTCACACAGAAGTAATGAAATCGCCAGACAAATTGCTACTGTAAGACGCCTTCCGATGTGTATAGCTTTACTCCTCTGTTTTACTCATCTTATTGCTGAAGTCATCTTTGGAGAAAGTACCAAATATTGGCCTAAAATAAATAAAAATTCATTTTCATTAAAGAGACTTATCAGCTACACACATTATTTGGTGGAGCACTAAAAACTTCAGTTAACCCCACAGGGCTTCCAACTGATTGTCGGCGTGAACGAAAACGACATGATCGAGTCGAACTGCCCGTCATCGGCGGCCCCTCCGCCGTCTAAAGTGGCCCCCCAGTTGAGCAAACCGGCCAACGCGGCCCCCACTAAGAGATACTTGCTCTCCATCGGCAGGATATTCCACAAACTGACGCTGGTCGGCTCCACCATCACTGTGACGAGATATAGACCTAGGTATGAAGTTAAATCATTATTTTTTACAATACACCGGTATAACGGTTAAACATTAAAAGCCGTGAAGGTGTAAATATCCGATACAATAGCATACGAATGCAACGATTAGTTACGAATAAATTATAATGTTACAGATTACTGTTACAAATTGTGGCAGTTGTAATAGCTACACTCTTGCAACGACAACTTTTGTTGGCTAATGTACTCAAAAATTTTTTTTAATGTTAAAATAAAATCATCTTTATGCACTTCTGTAAGCTTTAGGTTCTTGTTTCTATATAAATTGACTGAATAAAAATGGGTTGCACAAACTTACTTTAACCGTAAGTATACCGGTGTTTTTGATATGGAGTTGACAGATTTTTGACGTTTGTTAAAGTTAAAGTAAGAAGATAAAACTCGGTCTTAAATTTTCAACATATTTTCTCTTTTACAGACACCCATACCCGCCTTTCAACATCCACTACCGCTACCGCTTCCACGCGCCGAACCACGATACGTACGAAGTGTCGTGGGTCTCGTTCACGACTGAGAAGCTGGAGACCTACAACTGGAACTACATGGATCACTACATCTGCACCAGGGGAGACACAGACTTCGCCTTAGTCGAGGTGAGTTAGAACAAACTTCATCGCCGAACCACGACACGTACGAAGTGTCGTGGGTCTCGTTCACGACCGAGAAGCTGAGACCTACAACTGGAACTACATGGATCACTACATCTGCACCAGGGGAGACACAGACTTCGCCTTAGTCGAGGTGAGTTAGAACAAACTACCGCTACCGCTTCCACGCGCCGAACCACGACACGTACGAAGTGTCGTGGGTCTCGTTCACGACCGAGAAGCTGGAGACCTACAACTGGAACTACATGGATCACTACATCTGCACCAGGGGAGACACAGACTTCGCCTTAGTCGAGGTGAGTTAGAACAAATTTCATCGCCGAACCACGACACGCACGAAGTGTCGTGNCACGCGCGCTACCAGGCCACGTTCCGCCCGGACCAGGCCTACGAGATGTGCATACAGTGGGCCGTCGCTAGCGGGAACATTGTGTCCGAACTGGTAAGTTATGTTCTAGTACAAGAACAAGCACTTGGACGTCGATGTGAGCAACAAGAGCGACCGCATCGAGTGGGGTCACGCGCGCTACCAGGCCACGTTCCGCCCGGACCAGGCCTACGAGATGTGCATACAGTGGGCCGTCGCTAGCGGGAACATTGTGTCCGAACTGGTAAGTTATGTTCTAGTACAAGAACGCGCACGTAGACATCGACGTAGCAACAAGAGCGACCGCATCGAGTGGGGACACGCGCGCTACCAGGCACTCCGCCCAGACCAGGCGTACGAGATGTGCATACAGTGGGCCGTCGGCCCGTTGCTAACGGGAACATTGTGTCGGAGCTGGTAACTATACCTGTATTAGGGCTGATTTTTCAACCGTCGGGTAACTGAAGAATAATCTTGTCATTATGACATATTTTCCATACTGAAGCTACGTCTAGGCTAGAAGGTCCGGCTATTGAAAAATCAGGCCTTAGGGCCGATATTTTAATCGTTGGATAACTTTTAACTGAAGAATAAGTTTGGCACATTGACAGTTTCAGTATGGGAAATATGTCAAAATGACAAGGTTATTCTTCAGATAAAAGATATCTGACGATTGAAAAATCTGGCCTAAATTAGATAAAGTTAATGTATTTCAGATAGCCCAAAGGGGTTGCCGATTCTAGGGCAGTCGAAAACTGAATTGATATTAGTGTAGCAGTACAATTACAAATTACTAAAGTACATGCTCCATTATCTAAGAGTCCCCTTATTTTCGTTGTGGTAAAAGTGGGCGTGGCCTACTTTATCAGTGGTTTGTGTGTGGAAATGCGCAATAATAAAATCTAAATACAGAAACTGTAGTATTTATTACTTTGTGTCAAATTACTTTTGAATTATACTTACCAATATAATACTTAAGGCTCAAATTCATCTGCACTCCAGTCTAAAGGTACTATTTATTTCCAATAGATATTCGGATGGGCGCGAAAGGCACAGAACTGCCGCCTGCAAATGGTGCCTATCCCGGCCGACCCGCTTGCACTGCCATTCACATCTAAGTCCGACCCTCTACGGGGCCCCATCTACGTGCCTTTGAACGAGGAACCCCTACTCAGAAACAAGACTGCTTTGTTTGAAGGTAAAGTATTCAGAATTGCTAAAATAAGTAAGGCTCATAAAAGGTTGATTTTAAATAATGTATAGCGTCGTAGATAGTTATAGACTAGGAGCGATTTTGCAACTAAAATTGTCTATTATGCTGTAAAAGCAAGCTCAATTTTATTTCTTTGCTATGTTCCATTTTTATTTGATTTGAAATCATTAATTAATCGGTCAAGTAAAAGAAAGTGACGACAAATGGTGTCTGATCGTTTACTAAGAGTATGCGCACACCGTTGATTTTTCGTCGGCCGATAGTTTAGTCGGGCAGTTGATCAGTATGGGAATGTATGAGAGTGCGCACACTACGCCGATTCGATTTGGCCGATTCTTCATACAATTTAAAATCGGGCACAACTATCGGCCAACTAAAAATCAACGGTGTGCGCCTACTCTAATTTAATCTATATATATAAAAGAAAGTCGTGTTAGTTACTTCGCTTATAACTCAAGAACGGCTGAACCGATTTAGCTGAAAATTGTCAGGGAGGTAGTTTAGAGCCAGGAGAAGGACATAGGATACTTTTTATCCCGTTCGAAATTAAAAAAAAGTCTGCTTATTTATTGCCATTAAGGCGGAACAAAGTTCGCCGGGTCAGCTAGTTATTTATAAGAAACATACCACAAACCTATTTTCATAAAGCATGCTTTTGTTTATGTCGAGCAAGAACCTATTTATATCAGTGCTGATAGCTAATTTAATGTTATGAATATTTTCTACATTAGTTTTCCCTATAGTGATAACCACATGGTTATAACGTTGCCATTTGTGATAGATAACGTTGGATGTTTATTATTATATAATTAATTTAGTCCCGGTCTAGAAATTAACTTTATTTTTTAGTTAGAACCTTAACACAATATGTTATTACCTTATAATAGTTGAGGCACTGATTTAAAAAAATACTCTTTAGTAACGAAACCCATTTCTCAATTCAAACGTTGATTTATTAAGATTATGCTATTACATATGCTGAAAAATATCGTGTATCTTCATAAGTGGCTAGCGAATTTATATAAAAATTAAAATCAGTGGTTTTCCTGCTACAATATTATTGCGGTTACAATAAAACTGACACGATGACCTTCCTACAGGTTTCCCTGAAGACACATGGCTCGAGAGGTTATTCTTATTCCAAGAGGCTATAGTAGGCCGCTTCGGCTTCATCAAATGTACTGTGGAGAGCACATCTCACGCGGCCGGAGTGGGAGACCATCTATATGTACACGTCACTGGGAACATGTTTATACTCATCCCGACTACGGTCAAGTCGGAACAGAGGGCACTAAGGGCGAAGCCGCCGAACAAACCTTTGAATGCCAGCAGGTAACTATACAACCTTTTCTTTCATGTATACTAATGAACTTTATAGGGACAATAGTCCAATGATGTCGGTGTCGGATTGGCTGAATTGATATCCGAGAAATGCGGGCCCGTTGAACCCTTTATTTAGCTTACCATGAGGGGTTAACAGATTTATATTATGCAATAGGTTCGTTCGTTCGTTTCAGCCGAAAGACGTCAACTGCTGGACAAAGGCCTCCCCCAAGGATTTCCACGGAGACCGATCCTGCGCCGCTCGCATCCAGGCACCTCCCAATAGGTTCACTGGAGGATAATACAATGACATTAAATTCGCCTTTTGTACCATGAACAAACAAATAACCCTATTCTATTACGTAATTGATAAAATTTAAATATTTTCTTCCCTAAAGCATCAGTTTATTTCTCTTTGAACTATCAATCTGGATTAGTGTCAGTGTCTGTAAATTGATCTTCTAAAAATAACTGCTTTGTGGTGGCTTCAAAGTATCATAAAGTGTATAATGGAAGTACAGTCGGCCATTTATTTCTTGTAAAATGAAATAGAACTCTCTTTATTTGTACATACTATCAGGCCTGGCTCACTCCGCGCGGTACATCCGATAATTACCTACAGCGAAGCGCCCCGCCGGCGGGTATTATATCAGTCGAGTGTCACGCGCGCGCTCGTCAGGACGCTGGCGTGCGTTGTAGCATGATTATAATTCTATGATCGAAGTATTATTTAAAAATGGACATAGAAATATTGTGCGGCGTTCGGGTGTTTAAATTCGAAAAGTAATCTACCGGATTCATCTTTTTTTTCGCTTCCCAAAGATGCTGAAAGGTATGTTGGCCAAGTGGGTAATCAATAATTACTAGGATAGTATAGGAACCTAACCTACTATGACTACTGCTCAGAATGCGTCACTGCTGGACAAAGGCCTCTCCCAAGGTTTTCCATAATGAATGCATACTTACCTACATACGTACCTCATTACAAATAAGTAGTTTAATATTTTTTCACTAGACAGCAACCCTAACAGCGTAAGAAAAGTTCAGAGGCACGCGATAGAAAGAGACAAAACTTGTAGGTGAATAAAATTGTAGGTACGTAGTGCTGTGCGAGCTGAATTCCACTGTATCGCGTCGTAGCAAGACTCGCATTTATTTAAATCGTCTTGCGGAGTAATCCTTCTGTACCTGTACTACCACGACACGTACGAAGTGTCGTGGGTCTCGTTCACGACTGAGAAGCTGGAGACCTATAACTGGAACTACATGGATCACTACATCTGCACCAGGGGAGACACAGACTTCGCCTTAGTCGAGGTGAGTTAGAACAAACTACCGCTACCGCTTTCACGCGCCGAATACGACACGCACGAAGTGTCGTGGGTCTCGTTCACGACCAAGAAGCTGGAGACCTACAACTGGAACTACATGGATCACTACATCTGCACTAGGGGAGACACAGACTTCGCCTTAGTCGAGGTGAGTTTGTTAACAAGGACTAACCACGACACGTACGAAGTGTCGTGGGTCTCGTTCACGACTGAGAAGCTGGAGACCTACAACTGGAACTACATGGATCACTACATCTGCACCAGGGGAGACACAGACTTCGCCTTAGTCGAGGTAGGTTAAAACAAACAGCAACGGAACTTTCTAAAAAAACATATTTAAAAGGATACTACTGTTGTTTCCTCCGTACCGTATCGTCTTTGTAGCGGGTAGCGGTTCCAAGAAGGGAAGGGTACGCTATCCCCGGGACTACTCAACCTTCACTGGTTGGGTTTCGTTGGAGGCCAAGCTGTAGATCCTGGCAATACAGGAGATGCAGTGGTGATCAATTTTGTTGGGATAAGTCCCGATTTTGCTATGGCAGTCTTTTACTGTGAACCACCCCAATAACGTACAAAGCACGACGATCATCACCCTTTTTCATCGTGCCACCTCTCAATAATCAATATGTTATTCCAGGCACTAAAATACTGGCGATTCCGCACGCTCCTGTTGCCTCTATACAACCCGGCCACAAAACAGATCTTGGAGGACGAGTCGACTCACTGCGACATCTACCCCACGCCCACCAGGCAGGATCTAGACCACCTGACTGAGGGCTTCCTAAAGATGACCGAGTTGTACTTCAATAAGGTCAAAAGGCCCAACAAGCAGCGGGTGAGTTGTTTATTGTTATGATAGTGACGTGTGGGTTTCATTTGTGCTAGTTTTGAAATATTTAAAATTTTGAAACATTCGTTCATATTGTATTACACACCGGCCTAAACGTGGTTTAACGTTCCTCGATAATGACGTTCTAAGTTAACTCTTGCATGTTTTCTATCCGATTAAACAAAAATATGATACATAACAGATTTTCATAAAAACGTACACAAAAAAATTAACAATAATTCTTAGTATCTTCAATCAAATTATCAGTTACAGAATGTGTACTTTTATTACCGGTAACCAGTTTTATTGTAACCTTTTTTTCTTCTGTCTTTGTCTGGCCTTATTAACTTCTGTATAGAGCGAAGCGAATATATCAAATGAAACCCATATCTAATGTAATTGGTATGTTTTTTTATCTAGGTTCTATTGACGATTGTAAGTATGAAAAAAATAATTTTCATTACATCAAAATGTGCATCTTATAAAACGTAACATTCATTGATGATATTTTGATGTAATGATAATGCTCATTTTTTGTATTGAAATTTTGTTCAAACGAGAATATTTTTTTTCAAAATTTTAACTGTCGTCGACTGAAAATTACTCTTAGATTGTTTATATGTATAAATAAATTGTATATACGTATAAATAAAATTAGCATGAATATTTATCTGCTCATAGAATCTCACGTAGTTACTACTGCACTGCATGAAACTTTACAGCACATCTATAAAGCAGAAACTACATTACAAGACAATGAGTTAGCCTGCGCTTAAAATATTAAACTGAATTGTAACTTACCTGTTTTGAACTCACAAAGATGGAAACTCAAACATGAAATTAAATTTCACCGCTTTTGAAACGTGGACTGCATGCTGCCAAAACCTATACCGAATTAATGAAACTAGTTTCTTGAGTAAATAGCAAGTTATGGATGAGTGTACCAATGAAATGTTACATGTATGTGGTATGGGCATGTATGTTTTAATTTATTATTTCGAATTTAATTTACTTTTATGTTGCACACAACGTGTTGCCCGTAATTTCCTGTTTGAGTCCGAAGCATGAGATTAACTCGATTAACTTAATCGTACACAGATCAGACGCGAGTCGAATTGGTATCGGTAGTGTAGGATGTCAACCGCGGAGTTTTTATTGCTCCGCGGTTTAGTTTGTAAGTTAATGAAAAGCCTCGTTTCGTGGACGCTCAGTATGGTTATTGGGTGGCCCGGTGTTGGAGGCGACAGAGGTCGAATGGTCAGTCGGTCGGCGGATGTTCGGTCGGTCGGTGGTCGGTCGGCTAGTTGTTCAGTGATGATGCGTGCAGATGGCGGGCACGGTGGGCGCGGGCGCGGACAACGCGCTAACTCGCCGCCGCCATTCAACTTCGATGCTGACTCGGAGCGCCCAGGTACAACTGTTTCCGATGTACTGAATGATAACGGGGAGCTACATGCAATAGAGCTGCGGTTTCGCATAGATATCGCTCATTGTACTTAAATATGGTCGATTTTCAATAGGCATTATTCTGCCGTGTTTGAGGATGAAGAAAAAATAATTTCTTTGCAGATTTATTCGATCTTAGAATTGTTGACGATCTTTACAATTGATATAATTATGTTCAAAGTAAAATTCAATTATGATTGCGGGTTGATCTTGATCTACTCTTACTTTCAATATATTTTAGTATTAACAGTAAAATAATATACTCAATTAACAAGATCGTTTGCAGACCAAATCACCAAATCGAATTGCAAGCAGCTCCAGTTGCGTAGACTTGACACTAACATTTTATTTTAAACATAATAGAGAAAGTATTTACAGTGTAACTCTAATTTTATTGAAGTTTTGTATTTTTCAGACCAATTTAATAGTTAGTTGTGAGGGAACTTTTAACTTTTTGATGTCTTTTAAAAATAGTCATAGTCTACTAGCTCGATTGATGGTTTCATTTAATTTATTTAAATCAGGTTACCTATAATAATATTTTTTCGTTAATTTATGAAAATATCAAATTAGCCCGTAATCCTGAATCCTGATACATAAAGTTAGCCTATTAATTTAACACAGGTACGACTGTACTCAGTGTTGCACTATCAAATGCAATTGAGGCGCCTCTATGCCAGGGTTTTTATGTTCCTGGTCAGGCTATACATAAGTAAACCTATCTTTGATTGCTTATTAAAGCAATAAAATACTGACACAGTTGGGAGTCTATTAGCGCGGATATACGTATAATTTTGTGTGTCCGTTTCCTACCATCTTTTTGTAGCCTTTTCTGAGTTGATAGTTTCCGGATATTCCTACATTTCAAGACATATTAATATTCTTAGAGCGCCTTCAAACTAGAAGCGCAATCACAGCGCCACTATCGTTAAAAACGCGACGTGTGTTGCGCTTCTAGAAATTGTATGCTAAGTGGCGCTACTGCAGAGCTTTTCAACGCCTCAAATTTGAAGGCGCTCTTTCAAATACGGTAGTCCTAAATTGCGTATGCCTTTTCAGAGTGATAGAGCCAAAGCTAAAAGCGAATTCTACGCTGCCAGAGATCGTCGAGCGCATGCGAAGCGTCAACCTTGGCGTTGGATTCCTACAGCAGACCGTCAGTCTGCCTTCGCACACGTTCGTCTCCATATACGCGATCCACTGGCTACAGGCCAATATGGAGGCGATCACGTATGAAAAAGCTACAGCTATTATGGAGGTAAATAAATCATATTTGTCTTGGAGATTTTTTTTTATTTTTATTATTTATAGATAAATAAAGCCTGAGGGCCTAGTGTGAGTTTACATCAAACGCGCTCACTAAAACTTACATTAAATGTATGACGGATTGTACAGCGCCCCTGGTGGGAAACGTTCAAAAACTAAAATTTTCATACATTTTTTTTATCGCTTTTCATGTAAACTCACACTCAGCCCNGAACTTTTAACTTTTTGATGTCTTTTAAAAATAGTCATAGTAAGCATAAGCAGGTGGTATTATAATACATACTAAATCAATTTATAAAAGGTTGTAAAGGTAATTACTAAGGCTAGTTCAAAGGTAAGATGTGTTATTGTTAATTTAATTGGCGTTGGGAATTTGTATTTGTATATGAAACTAACATTATGGTGATAGTGTCACGTCTACGTAGTTATTGTTTAGTGATGTACCTTCCCTCCTCCCTCCACCCTCCCACACTTATCATTTTATACCTCGACCAAATGAGACAGACCTTCTCTTCTTAGATACTTCGTTCGTACATTCGTCTATGGCATTTGTGGTCATTATCAAGTATAATAGGTATTCCTGTGTATTATAAAATATGTAAGTACATCAGAGCATTTAATGTTTTTAAAGCATGTACATGACATGTTAACAAAGGAAAATATACCCAGGTCTGCTCGTTTGCTCGTTCTAATTATAGGTCAAAATTATTATTTTCTGCATTACTTTATTTGGCAAAATTATAAGCACTTTGATTCCGTGACACAGGGTCTGTAATCACAGGTATATTAACTAAAATTTGGAGTGGCATATAATACAAAGCCTACTCTAATAAGTAACAATCTGATATAGATAGTGCCGCCGTACTAATAACAGCTAATATTTAATCGTAATTTTATACATAACAGTGCAACTTTCTTTCGGGTCTTCAAGAGGTGGATTCTACTTCTGGTTTGCAAATACGTAGGTAGTAATACACTATTAGCACTTTACGCCTGAATCGTGATAAGGCTTTTACATAATATTAAACTGTAAGACATCCATATCCATTTGTTTAGCAAACTGAAAAAACTTTGCATTGATTATCATGAAGGTCATCAAAGCGATCGCGTTGTACTTCTGAAATGCGTATATACCTGCACTGCTTATTATAAAATTATGCAATATTATGCACGGAATGCACTTAAATATTACATACACATATTGTTTGCTCGCTTATTCTGTTAATTTTGTAGATTTTTAATGTTTAATAATTTGTTTTCTGAGAAACTGACCAAATACTAAAAAGTAATAAGTTTAACTCTTATCACTGCTAATTAAATTCGTTTTCGTTGAGTATTTTAAGGACAATGTAAAGAGCACACCATTAAAAATCTGCAACTGTGATTCTGGCCCCTAGATAAAGAGGTTCAGTTGACAGTGGATCAAAGTTCAAACAACTAATAAACGACGAATTTAGATGTGCTGACAACTGTACTAACTATTAAACTTAAACCAGCCGCGACTTTACATTGTCCTTCACTATTCGGTCGGTATTTCAGAGGTAGGGTGGTCAGCCAGGCTACAATGCGCGCCATGATAAAATCTTATCGACGACAAATGTATGGGTTTATCGTGCAAATTCGATAAAAGTTTATCGTGGCGCGTATCCCAGGCCTACAGGTGGTAGCACCGTTGACGTGTTAACGTGAGTGTTGTGCATAGGGCGGCGTGTCGAGTTCGCCGTTCCGGGAACGCGTGGGCAGCACCCGCCTGCCGGACCGGCCGCGGCTCCGGATCGAGGCCATGTCAGTACCGACGTGTACAGTGTTGCCATCAATGTGTTAAACTTATTGCCATAAATAAACTTTTTTTGGTAATAGTGTCCTTGGACGTTTTACACCGCGTAATCTAGACCAAAATTAAGTAGTCATAATTTCTCTAATGATTTTTTACTAAAATAAAAACAAATATATTCAAATTGTACTGAAACAAAACCGACAAGTATAGAAAATATCTGTTTTACGATATACAGTCGCACATCTACACATCTCTCAATAAATTCATTTGATTCTTTATATCGTTGATCATTGTCATTCGATTTTATTATCAAGATATGAAATAGGTAAAGCTTACAAGTTTACAAATTGATGGCATCACCTCTATCTAAATCATTTTGTATGGATGTGCTTCATGATTTGCTATCATTTATTGATTATTCTTGGCAATTAATATTACCAGGCACATTAAAACTTAATGATTTGGATTTTATATTCATATTGCATGTTAAAGGGGGCTTTTGTGTGGCACGGTGTGCTTTGCAAATATTAGTTTTACCGCCAATACTTCTAAAACTGATATTATATTCGTTGCATGACATTTCTTTTCACATCACGACATTATCACAACGTTATTATTTATTTAGTTTATTAACTTTGTTATTTATATCGAGTTTATAAACCTATTTTATCTATGTATTTTTTATTTTTCTAATCTCCAATATAGTCAAGTTCTCGTGAATTTGGCTGATACCTTTCTTTTTCAGAATTATTGTTGTGTATTTTATTTCTTGGTATCCCTACTTTATGCTGTATGACCGCGGAATGCTTGCCCAGGCCTGCGGGGTTACTCTGAAAAACGTTATTCGTTGTTTCGAATGTTGCCGTCTCTCTCACTCCAAGCGAGAAGCCAGCATGAACGACGGTGACAGATAGACCCGAAACTACGTAACTTCGGAGTAGCCCTCCTGTCCCAGCGGTCGCTTGTTTCTTATCCGTAACGTTTCATTGCAGCAAGTATCACCTACTAAGTCACTAAGTACTAGTCAGTGTAACAAGTAAGTATGTCATACGCTTCTATCTTCATTATACCAAATCTTAAGGCCTAGACAAAGTAACGACATTCGATATAAATAAATAAATAAATATCCTTAGACATTTTACACTGCGCTTCTAGTCCCAAACTAAGCAAAGCTTGTACTATGGGTACTAGACAACGGATATAAACATACTTAAATACTTTTTTTTTGTAAATACATACTTATTATACATAGAAAACACCCAGTCCAATACAAACAAATATGTTCATACACACAAATGTTTGTACTGTGCGGGAATCGAACCCGCTACCTCCGGAATAGTAGTCCGTTTCGAACCACTACACCAAAAGGCCGACAATATTCGTCTTTATACTAGTAAACATATGGACTAAAATAACTTTTTGAACTCTGAATCCCTAGATGCGATGTTACCTTGTCTAGAAGCGCAATTTACTTATTTGATAAACTTAATTGTATCAAGTACACTGATATAACTTACAATAACCCTGCATATTCCATCCCTTCATAATAATTTTACTTCTTCTGAATGATTTAGCTTTTGCTAATGCATTGCCTGCTGTTTTTATTAAATAAGCTCGATTTTTAAATAGCTCCTATGAAATTTTGGTAATGATTCAATCACTAATAATTAGTATCTCCAAAAGAAAGGACAAACGACCTTGTCGCTTTTGGCATAGAGAAGGAGCCTTTTAGGAATCGAGCTCTTTTATTTTAGGATAGCTGAATATGCGCTCATATGACCTTTAATCTTTCAGGGCAGTAGCAAAAACTGTGCTCGAAAGAACGCAGTCACAGACTGGTGAATGTGAAGACACTTATGATGATGGGTGAGTTCTGTAGTACGTAAGTTACGTAAAATTAATTCGAGTTGAGATGATAGAGAGGATTATCTCCAATAAAAATCTGGAAATAATAAAGACAACAGACCGTTTGTCTCTATCGACTTAAGTAAGACCTATCTTTGATTGATAGTAAAGTAATGAGACACTGACACATTTGGGAGTTCATTACCGCGGATATAAGTATAATTTTCCGTTCCGTTAATGTGTCTGTTTCCTACTATCTTTTTGTAGCCCTTTCCGAGTTGATAGTTTCTGAATTTTCAAACCTTTTAAAATATATTCATATTCTTACAGCGCCTTGAAACTAGAGGTGCAATCGTAGCGCCACTAACGTTACAAACGCGACGTGTGTTACGCTTCTAGAAATTGTATGATATCTAAGTGGCGCCACCGCCAATGCAGCCTTTCCTCACACCTCTAATTTGAAGGTGCCCTTGTAAATACGTTAGACTTAATTGCAACTGCCTTTTCAGCGTGATAGAACCAAAGCTAAAAGCAAATTCCACGCTGCCAGAGATCGTCGAGCGCATGCGAAGCGTCAACCTTGGCGTTGGATTCCTACAGCAGACCGTCAGTCTGCCTTCGCACACGTTCGTCTCCATATACGCGATCCACTGGCTACAGGCCAATATGGAGGCGATCACGTATGAAAAAGCTACAGCTATTATGGAGGTAAATAAGTCGTATTTGTCTTGGAGATTGTTTTATGAAAATAAGCACTCAAATAATGATAAAAGTAGATAAATAAAGCCTGAGGGCCTAGTGTGAGTTTACATCAAACGCGCTCACTAAAACTTACATTAAATGTATGACGGATTGTACAGCGCCCCAACAACAATTGTACAGCGCCCTACAAGGTGGGAAACGTTCAAAAACTAAAATTTTCATACATTTTTTTTATCGCTTTTCATGTAAACTCACACTCAGCCCGCTGTTGTAGAAAACAGTTTGGTATGAAATATTATTTGACTTTCTGAGGAAAGAGGCGAAGTACAAGCGATAGCACATAAGGCTTATTTTTGTTGCAAAATTACCCCTAACACAACTACATAAGATGCCACAGTGTTTATCTTGATGTAGTGTCGTCTTCACAAGCACATAATATTGCTACAACAGATGCAAAATATTGTAATCAGCTAATTTGAGAACAGTGGAATCTGAAACTTCAATGGCTAGGTCAGTTACTGAATTCTGGCAACCGCCATGTTATTTTATGCTCCTGCGCACATACTAAGGCATGCCTCACTGACTTCATAATATGTTTTTGTATCTGAGCGTGTCATTTAAATAAAATATTCTTAGTTATGGATGTATTCCAATATTGTCTTTCTATGGATACGAGTTTTGAATGCATTATTCTAAGTCCTTGTAACAATGGTTCTCTAAAATATGTACACTTGTCAGTTTTTATAAGAATGTTGTTTTTTAGAAACTACTACAAGACAAGATGATCTGCCACGCTTCAGGAGACACGACGAAGCGATTCGTCGTCGGATATTACATGTACCACATCTTGCCCCAGAAGAAGGACAAAGGTTATTGCACTAACAATGTTATTGGAATGAAAATGAAATCGTTATTGGCGCGTTTTTGTTAATGCAGTATACAGTTTTTTTTAATGTAAGACAAGGCAGATATACCGCAATCGCACCTAGTGTTAAGTGAGATGCAGTCAAGATGGTACATATCTGCCCTGTAAGTGCCTATTCACTCTCTCCTTGGTTGATCCATGGTCTAAATGGTTTGACCATAAAAAGAGTAATCATTACCACGCTCGCTTTATTTTTTCGGGAGAGGACGTGACGTCAAGCTACGTGAGACTCGTACTCACTAAAAACCAAAATTCTAGTGTAGCGCAAAACTGTTTTCAATAAGTGTAATATCACTCACTATCGATTTATTATTGGGAAATAGCAATGACAATAACCGTGACTGATAACGATTTCACACTTGAAAACAAATGAATTTGCCAAAAAATAATCTTATATTTGTACCATACTAACAAAGTGCTAACTTTCAGAGCTGACAGACTACGTGAAACCCCTCGGCGACTTGCAGAGTTTCGAAAACGAGTGGATGGAAGTGGAAGTGTTAGGTCCTCGCTCGCCTTTACTCTCGAGCGATGTATCGAGCGGCGGCATCGATATATCGGGATCGAGCCCTCTGACTGATGACACGGGAGTGCCTGCGTTCTTGTGTGACAATATCGACCCTAATTATATGCAGGTCGATGGCGATAATGACCGTGAGTATTTGTGAAAGATTTTGTTTTAAAGTAATACGGTTACGCTCGGTAGTTTTCGAGTGATGTATCGAGCGGCGGCATCGATATATCGGGATCGAGTCCTCTGACCTGACCTTGTTCCTGTGTGACAATATTGACTCTAATTATATGCAGGTCGATGGCGATAATGACCGTGAGTATTTGTGAGAGATGTTTTATAATGCGGTTATGCTTGATAGCCTTGCTCTCGAGCGATTTATCGAGCGGCGGCATCGATATATCGGGATCGAGTCCACGGACGGACGATACGGGTGTTCCTGTCTTCTTGTGTGACAACATCGACCCTAATTATATGCAGGTCGATGGCGATAATGACCGTGAGTATTTGTGACAGATTTCTTTCAAAGTAATACGGTTACGCTCGGTAGTTTTCGAGCGATGTATCGAGCGGCGGCATCGATATATCGGGATCGAGTTCGCTGACGGACGATACGAAAGTGCCTGCCTTCCTGTGTGACAATATCGACCCTAATTATATGCAGGTTGATGGCGATAATGACCGTGAGTACTAGTGACAGATTTGTTATAATGCGATTACGCTTGTTCACGTCTGCTCTCAAGCGATGTATCGAGCGGTGGCATCGATATATCGGGATCGAGTCCGCTGACGGACGACACGGGAGTGCCTGCCTTCTTGTGTGACAATATCGACCCTAATTATATGCAGGTTGATGGCGATAATGACCGTGAGTACTAGTGACAGATTTGTTATAATGCGATTACGCTTGTTCACGTCTGCTCTCAAGCGATGTATCGAGCGGTGGCATCGATATATCGGGATCGAGTCCGCTGACGGACGACACGGGAGTGCCTGCCTTCTTGTGTGACAATATCGACCCTAATTATATGCAGGTCGAGGGCGATAATGACCGTGAGTATTTGTGAGAGATGTTATAATGCGATTACGCTCGGTAGCCTTGCTCTCGAGCGATTTATCGAGCGGCGGCATCGATATATCGGGGTCGAGTCCACTGACGGACGACACGGGTGTTCCTGTCTTCTTGTGTGACAACATCGACCCTAATTATATGCAGGTCGATGGCGATAATGACCGTGAGTATTTGTGACAGATATCTTGTAAAGTAATACGGTTACGCTCGGTAACCTCCGCTTCGAGCGATATTTCGAGCGGAAGTTGTATAAGACCGTCGGAGGAGTTTTACTTTTTCGAAACCAGAATGAATGATTTGCTTTGATTGAAATTGGTAAATGATGTCAAATATTCAGTTTTACGTCTTCTGTGTACAGTCGACAGCACTTCAGAAGATTGTTGCTAAATAGCACTTACACATATGGTTCGACGATTACTTATCGGTTGATGCGTCGTCTGTTAAAAGCATTCACAATGAGCTACAAACACATGTTATTGAACACATTCAAACATTGACCTATTTGTTCCAGTGCCACTGTATAAGAACACGCACCTAGACATCGATGTTAGCAACAAGAGTGATCNACGCGCGCTACCAGGCCACTTTCCGCCCGGACCAGGCCTACGAGATGTGCATACAGTGGGCCGTCGCTAGCGGGAACATTGTGTCCGAACTGGTAAGTGTGTGTTCTAGTACAAGAACAAACAGACATTGATGTGAGCAACAAGAGCGACCGCATAGAGTGGGGACACGCGCGCTACCAGGCCACTTTCCCCCCGGACCAGGCCTACGAGATGTGCATACAGTGGGCCGTCGCTAGCGGGAACATTGTGTCCGAACTGGTAAGTTATGTTCTAGTACAAGAACAAACACTAGGACATCGACATGAGCAACGAGAGCGACCTACTCCTAATTATAATGGAGTAATCCTAAAAAATAAGTTCCATTATCTGCAGCAGTGCAGCTCCACACCTACTTTCGTTGTGGTAGTAGTGACCGTGGCCTACGTTATCGGTTTGCGGTTTGTGTGTGGAAGTGCGCATTAATAACATCTAATTGTAAATACAGAATAGTATTACTAGGTTTTGTACAATTTAAAAAGCAATACCTACGTTTAAGGTTCAAGTTCATCTGTGAGACTGAGAAGGATGAGCGTGCAACCCGCTACGGGGCCCCATCTACGTGCCTTTGAAAGAATATCCTCAATTGTAACTCAATAACAAAAATATTGTGGTGAGCTCACTCGTGACACAAGCATATTTAGCTTAGTACGAGGGGCTAACGGGAATATTAGTAATTTGTGTAATAACAAATTACTAACTAATAATCTTTTATAAAAAAAAAACTATTTGAAATAGAAATACCTAAGTTTAAGGTCCAAATTAATTAATTATGCTCTAGAGTCTAAACATTCGATTCATTTCCAATAGATATTCGGATGGGCGCGCAAAGCGCAGAACTGTCGCCTCCAAATGGTACCGATCCCGGCCGACCCGCTTGCTCTGCCTTTCACCTCTAAGTCCGACCCTCTACGGGGCCCCATCTACGTGCCTTTGAACGAGGAACCCCTACTCAGAAACAAGACTGCTTTGTTTGAAGGTAAAGTATTCAGAATTGCTAAAATAAGTAAGGCTCATAAAAGGTTGATTTTAAATAATGTATAGCGTCGTAGCTGTAATAGGAGCGATTTAGCGACTAAAATTGTCTATTATGCTGTACAAAAGCAAGCTCAATTTCATTTCTTTGCTATGTCAGAAGCGGATCCAGCCGTCAAAAAAGGTTGTGGGCACAGCCACCAAAAATGAGCAAAGTGAGAGTTGGATCACTACATGCCCGGACATACATGCATGCCTATCGATCTTATCAATAGATCATAATTAAAACAAGCAAATTAGGGTTGTGGGCATGCCCACAATGCCCACAACGGTGGATCCGCGCCTGTGCTATGTTCCATTTTTATTTGATTTGAAATGATTAATTAATCGGTCGAGTAAAGTAAAAGTGACGACAAATGGTGTCTGATCGTTTACTAATTTCATTATTATAAGAAATATACCACAAATCTATTTTCATAAAACATGCTTTTGTTTATGTCGAGCAAGAACCTATTTATATCAGTGCTGATAGCTAATTTAATGTTATGAATATTTTCTACATTACTTTTCCCTATAGTGATAACCACATGGTTATAACGTTGCCATTTGTGATAGATAACGTTGAATGTTTATTATATTTAATTAATTAAGTGCGCGGTCTAAAAATGAACTTTATTTTCTAGTTAGAACCTTAACACAATATGTTATTACCTAATAGTTGAGGCACTGATTTTAAAAAAATACTCTTTAGTAACGAAACCCATTTCTCAATTCAAATGTTGATTTATTAAGATTATGCTATTACATATGTATGCTGAAAAATATCGTGTATCTTCATAAGTGGCTAGCGAATTTATATAAAAATTAAAATCAGTGGTTTTCCTGCTACAATATTATTGCGGTTACAATAAAACTGACACGATGACCTTCCTACAGGTTTCCCTGAAGACACATGGCTCGAGAGGTTATTCTTATTCCAAGAGGCTATAGTAGGCCGCTTCGGCTTCATCAAATGTACCGTGGAGAGCACATCTCACGCGGCCGGAGTGGGAGACCATCTATATGTCCACGTCACTGGGAACATGTTTATACTCATCCCGACTACGGTCAAGTCGGAACAGAGGGCACTAAGGGCCAAGCCGCCGAACAAACCTTTGAATGCCAGCAGGTAACTATAAAACCTTTTCTTTCGTGTATACTAATGAACTTTATAGGGACAATAGTCCAATGATGTCGGTGTCGGATTAGCTGAATTGATATCCGAGAAATGCGGGTCCGTTGAACCCTTTATTTAGCTTACCACGAGGGGTTAACGAGAGAGGATAATCCCATATAACATTAAATTCGCCTTTTGTACCCTGAACAAGCAAATAACTAATCCATATCTGTGCAAATAACCCTATTACGTAATTGATAAAGTTGAATTTAAATATTTTCTTCCCTAAAGCATCAGTTCATTTCTCGTTGAACTATCAATCTGGATTAGTGTCAGTGACTGTAAATTGATCTTTTAAAAATAACTGCTTTGTGGCTTCAAAGTATCATAAAGTGTATAATGGATGTACAGTCAGTTATTTAAATAGTTAATATGTTAAAATGAACTCTCTTTACTTGTGGATACATACTATCAAAATAAAGCAAAATGCTCTTTAAGGTCAAAATGTCATGAATTTTACTTACATCTTAATAAATTATTATTAAAAGATATTTTTTTAAGAATCCATGGTAATGATTCAAATTAGATTTGTAGTTGACTGTACATACANCATATAGAGCTTCCTCAATTTTAGTCATGCCAACTATTGTTACAGTGCTAAGTTACACCTCAATGTTAAAGATTGATAGTCAAGGTCAGAGGCTCTCCGCGGATCGAACGTATTATTGACTCAACGTGAGTTCTCGGCGTAGTTTTGGTTATTAGTCATTTGTGAAACTATACACATGTTAGGGTTGAACGACCTTCCTTCAACTGTGTCGTCACGCACACTGTTGACGCAGACATTTAATTTTGTTTACTGTTTCATAAACTTTTGAAATACATTTAATCAATGCCGTAACAAGCTCTGTGGGAGAGCTTACATGAAAATAGAAGAAATAATGTCGTCATTGTCGTCTTTACCCGCTATATTTTTCCGAATCCATTACATAATGCAGTGGGACAGACTTGCTTGTTCGACCCAGCTTTATTAATAATTACAGATACAGTCAAGAGACATACTGTTAGTTGTCTTCTGTCGGCTGTTAAAGAAGATATAATCAATCACTCCTTTTAAAAAAATAACTTTTTATGCTAAAGCGGTCTTAATTAATTGAATCATTGGATTAATAAACTACTTTATATTCCATTCTATACTTTATCGCTAAACTAGTAACTGTAAAACTAAATTACTATCTCCCCTTGTTCAGATACCCGGTGCATTCTGAAGCAGCACCCAGTCCTCACGAAGGTTACATCACTCGCCACGTGAGCGGGAAAAACAAGGACGACTACGATAACAGCAGGAGGGTACGTATAAACAACTATGATAACACGTTATCGGAAGCGGCTTGCAAATTATCAATTATTAACTGCATTATGCTCAGTTATTATCAATTTCTATTGTGTATTGAAATTGTAAACATTTATGTTTATTTTCACTAGTTTTGTCTCTGTCTGGTGCACTACTAGCTACCTACTAGCCTTAGTGGGAAATATAAACAAACAATTTTATACTAGCATTCCGCTCGCGGCTTCGCCCGCGTGGAATTTTGTCAGTGACAGAAAAACATTAACGCGCACGTCCCTGTTTCAAAAACCGGGATAATATCCTATGTCCTTTCCCGAGACTAAACTCTATGCTTAATTTCATCAAAATCTGTTCAGTAGTTTAGGCGTGAAAGCGACACAGAGAGACAGAGTTACTCTCGCATTTAATAGATTAGGTTTTTGGAAATCACCTTCCATACCGGTAAAGCCCAGACAGTCACTGTCTGCATTGCGCGTAAAATTTAAGGGGGTCCTGCACGGAATCCCTAAAATTGTCATATTTTTAAATCACGAGTGCTCTGCGATTAGTGACTTAAATACATCAAAGGAACTTGTGTAGGGTAGCCCAATCCTTGATCTAGGTCGCCGCCTTTTCGAAATTTTGAATAAATACGTAAAAAATTGATAAACAACATTTAAAATGCAGATATATGGAAATTTTATTTCTTCGAGAACTTTGTTAATTTAACGTATGAAGCAATAATTTTTATATGGAAATGTTTAAATTAATATTTTGAAGGTCGCCCCCTTTTTCGTTTTTGGNCGATCGTGTTAGTTCGTTGCGCCACCGCTATCTCGGCTAGCAAATCGTAATTTTTCGTCGGCGCTGCACCCCCTTAAATAGCAATGACCTTTGCTATATTTTTCCTTCTACTACATTGATTTTTTGAATGAATGACGCAATATTTATTTTTCTGTTTCTCAGATGGGCTTCTTATGGTCGTGGAATCACATGATATCTAAGAAGTGGAAATGGTCGCAAACACCTGCTACAGGTGACGAGACTTTCCAAATGCGAATGTTGCGCGATTTCAAACATTTCTGCGCCAACCAAGAACAAAGACTGAGTCAATTTTGGGATCAGTGTTGGGAGTTACAGGAGGCAGCTCAAGGAATTAAATCCTGTTAATTTATTAATGTAATAAAGTCAAATAATTTTAAGTGAATAAACTTTTTATATTTTCAATTGTACTATTATTTAGCTATATGGCTTTATGAATGAAAACAACATGGTTTCATTAGGAAGAAACTTTATTGCTTAGATGAATATAAAAATAAGTTTTGTTACCAATATTACATCAAATCCATCTATCCAGCCTTCAAAGACCTATGAGGAAATTACTGTCTTACTAAAATTTTGGTCATAATATATTATTTTAATTTATCTAAAAATATTTCTTTCAGTTTTGTAAAAGGCACAATTTCCAAACAATACATTAACCCGTCATTTAATTAGATATACTCTCAATAATTTGAGGGTGTGTAGTAATTATTCCTCACAGATATTTGGTATTCTACCCTAAATAAAATCAGTCAGTTTTATTATCACTTGCAATCTAGACAAAACTTATTATATTTTATGTAAATTTACTGACAATGGACATAACATGTAATTTGTATTGACTTATTTTTAATAGACATACATAAAGCACCAATTGCGATAGAGGCAAATCAGTTCTACACATATTGGGCTTATTGAAAACTAGTTCAATGATACACAGTCCACTTTATCAAATATAATTTACGTACGTTGGCATGTAATTTTGATACTGTCTTTACAGATCTATATTATTTTTAAAATATTTACGCATTATTAATCCTAAGCATTATGAGATGTCACAAATATTATACATAATTGAAACTTTAATCAATATGCTGGCAGTTTAATAAAATCTATTTTATATTAAATTAGAAAATAAATGCAAAAGGCTGAACAAAATTTGAAATAGGTACATAATTATGTTATATTGTTCTTTCTAAAATGCTAAAAACAAAATTAAACAACATCACACAGTAATTACCATGTTGGATACATGATCCTAAACAACCTTATTTATTTCATTAGACTATAAAACATAACAAAATGACATTATGTAGAAAAATCTTTGTTCTGCCAGTAAAGCAAAGTAAACTGAAAAGAAGACAAGATAAAACTTGGACTTATTGAGAGCATTTTTTATAATTTTAGGTAGGTACATTAATGATATGTACGTAAAAGACCGTAAAATTGCATTATTACTTATTGTACTATTTAATTTCACTACTACAACCATAGTTAAACAAAATTGTTCATGCTTTAAGTACAATCAGTACTAAAAATGAAATGCATCAATTACATTAGCTAAGAAAAAGTAAAAATTTAGCGACTAACAAACATAAAATTGAGCTCATTGTCTTAAAATATAACAAGATGCTACATACTACTAGTACATCTAAAAATTTAAAAGGTTTTACTAATTTTTTTTCTAATTATTAATAATGGATGATAAAATACAATAAGGTAAGGACTTCAATGGTTTTACACAGCCAAATATAGATAAATCTTGACAAACCACCATTTTTTTTTATCTTAATGGGTATTAGATAAGTACAAAAGATCCTTATAATATCACTTATTATGGCAGAGAACTACATTGTGCATGGTTTTTTAATCTACGTTCAGAGGATTTGTCAATTTTCTATCTATACCAGACAAAGAACATGAACTTATAAGACTATATTTTTTTGTAACATGTAACTTGGTGGGCCTTGTTTTTTATCAAAGCTCTTCAAAATTATTATTAATTTAGAAGAAAACTAATTAATCTCATGGCAAATGTGACCTAGTTAATGGACTGGTCTAAGGTACTGGTATAATAAATAACAAAGTATTTATTGAAACTATTACTAATGTTACTGGTCTGTCGTATCAAGGACAACCATACAAACTAAATACCTAAACATAGGTAAAAATAAAGAAAATTATTATACTAAAGTACTTATTGTTTCTTTCCAAATACAAGTAAACGGGTGAGCATACTTGTAATGCATGGAACTTGTTTTTGCTGGTGCATCATCATCATATCAGGGGTGTTAGATTCATAATCCAAAGCAACTTTTTGACAAACAAATGTCAAGAGTGTCAGTATGTTTTGTTCGGTTCCATTATAACGCAACTCTTCACATAAAGCCTGCATGAACCAGGATCCGCGGGTAGTGTTTCTCCAAGAATAGTATCCAGGAACAGTAGAGTATACAATGAGGAAGTCAGCATGTATAGGAATTCTGTATTGCGTATTAGATGATCCATCAGTCTCAGTGCGGTTGACCAAGGTTATTCCTCCATCCAATTTATCACCCTGGCAAGCTTGAATGAAAAACAGTTTGGGTTTGCCTGCTAATGTAGGACATTTATCAGCAGTAAAATAGTACCACAAGTTATCTGGTTTGTAGTGAGTATCTTTTGCATACAGCATGCCTAGTTCTCCGTGAGTTAGGACTGCGATAAGCAAACAATCTGAATCAGAGTGGTCCATCTCAGCTGTTTGTTTGATGTAACTGTTAATATCTTCAGACTTCTTATTGTGGAAGACAGTTACAGTGAAACCCAAACTCTTAAGCACTTTTGCAAGGTTATCGCTGTCTACGTTGGTGCCTGTGCGAGGCTTCAAGCTATGGATGTCGAAGTGCTCGTGGTTGAAAATGATTGCCATACCTCGATTCTTGTGGTTCATGTTGTAGTAAGGAGCATTCCTATCGACGGGCATCTTCGCGAAGCGATTCCTGTCCGAAGACCCATGACTTCCCCATGCGTCGCCTTCATCGCCACCTCCGTTTTCTCTTTGTTCGGGCTCAGCAGCACCGTTGTTTTTTTGGATTTCATCGTCCGACATTTCTTACGGGTGTACGGAAAATTATGGTTGAACTAATAAATCCCTTTTAATTTAATAGGATCAGTCTTTGCAGAGCTTTTAGTAAATAAAAATAATAGAGTAAAATGTAAAACACGACAATACACACACGACGTCGTTACAAGTTGACAGAAAACTGCAAAAACAATGATGCGCGCAAAATTCGATGCTACATGATAGGGTTGGGAAATATTAATCGATTCCATCAGTATTCAATTGAAATAACTAAGAAATGTCAAATAAAAATTTATCACCACAGCGATGCTTATTTTCGGTTTTCTGCTAAAAATTGGTAAAAAAAGATGCCATTCCCTACTTTTCTTCGTATTTTTGAGTCATCAACTTCATCAAGCATCTTGCACAATCGTGAATATTAGGCCTTTAAAAAAATTTACAACTGCCATCTAGCAATGAGTAGTCTGAACAGCCTTAACATAAAAATACCAACAGATGGCAGCACTTTTTTAATTTATTGACTGTAGCGATTTTTTTATTTCATTTAAACTTATCGTGGTAAACGTAGAAATCGAAGAGTATATTTTTCGTAGCAACGATAGGATAGGTCTCAATCAATATTTATAATCGTAACGTTATTTATTCAATAAACTATCTGCTGTCCAATTTTAAGCCGTCCAAGGTAGATTGCTTCAAAAGCCTGAGCCAATATTTTTAAGCACGTTAATCTAACACCTACCTACATTATTACTAAGTTAATTAATAACCTATCTAGGCTTATAATTTTAACCGATTCCAAACACTGCGTATACATGGTGGCCAGGGAGTTGACGTTCAAAGCTAAAAAAACTCATTTTATTTTTGCAAATAGGCTTTTGGAAAGCACTTTTACACGTCCCAATATCTATTAACCCTACCACTGCTTCTGGACAATAATGGGCCAGTGCTGAGAAGAAGCAGCGCAAGAAACTCAGTCACTATTGTCTTACTTAGCTACTTACTTCCTCTTAAAATTTAGATTCCTTACATCAAGGTGTATCTAAATCACCCCCATGCATGTTCTACGATTTTGCTTAGTTTAAAGAGTTAATTTTGTGATTTATCCATAACTATCACATATGGAAAAAAATAAAAACCAACCACCCTGTATAGGCAGGTATATCGTTGCTCTATTTTGCTGCCTGGACAGTGCTTCGCACTAATTGTAGGTAGACAGAAGTTTATATGGTATCCATGGTTACTTGAAAGGTACAAACAAATGACATTCTTATAAATTAGTATTTAAATCTCAATAGTTTTAGGGTGTGATGTAAAAATACGGAGATAGGGTTGATTAAAGTAAATAAACGCTGTTTAAAAATGTCGATATTCAAAATAAAACATTGGTGGTCAAACAATAAACTGCAAGAAAGTAATCCATGTGTAGGAATACAGAACTCCTGTTGTCTGAAAGTTGATAAGTTTAATTCACATACAGAGAGCGATTGCATTGTGGTTGGTGAAGAATACTACCTAAGGATATTTAAACCGAGTTTAGATGAGGGAGTTTCTAATACGTTGTTAGAAACGCAACTTAGTGATGTTATTTTACAAATTGACACTGGAAAATTCATAGCGTAAGGTTTAAAGATTATAAGACTGAATGCTTGTTTTACTGGCATTAAGTTTCAAAATAAAATATCTCAGTGCCTTTATATTTTTAGAGATTCCGATGACAGACATATCATAGTACTGCATCCACTGAATTATACTATTTACCATTTTAATAAGAAAGATGGTCACACGGATGCGGGTGAGCTTTCTATTTGATTATTTAAAATTTTTGGTCCTTCGAGCCGGATTTGATGTTGACTTACTTTTTTTTGTTTTGCAGGCGAACAGACCATTCTAAGACCGATGATAAAACATAATTTTACCCGAAAAGCATACAGCTTGACTTGCGGTCCGTTTGGGAATGTGAAAACTAGAGACCTCTTTTGCATTCAAGGCTTAGATGGAAGTTTGAGTTTCTTCGATCAAGATACATTTCTATTTATGTGCATATTCCAAGATGTCATAATACCAGGGCCTGTGTGTTACATTCCAAGCTGTGACTCGTTCATTATTGGTAAATCAACATGGATATTAGAGATTTATAGGTGAGATTTTTCTCTTCTTGCTAGATTTAAAATTGAACAATATATCTAATAATTATTATTATAAAATGCAGTTATCAGCAGCTAAGAGAGTTCAGCGAGATCAGTTTGCGACAAAATAAAAAGAATATGCCTCAATGGGTCTACAATGCTGGTGAAGAAATTTCATCCGTCCAAGTTATACAGGTTGGTAATGTAATGCTAATCTCTAATATTACATCTGACATATTATAATAAATACCTAACGGGAAAGAGCTATTTTTACAGACAAGCAGCAATTTTTCTACTATAGTCGCATTGGGAGAGCGCCATCTTTATTGTTTTCAAGACAATGGATTAATGAAATACATGATAAAATTTGACTTTATGCCGATTTGTTTCTCTGCTTATCTCATTGGATGGTATTACGGTAAGCTGCAAAAAGCCTATTTATTGTATCATTGATTTAAAACTTTTTTGATAAATGCATCGTTATTTGTCCTAGAGCCTGGGGCCCGGTTATTAGTTATGGTCGCATCAGAGGATTCCAAACTATACATCTACGAAGGCACAATGTTGCTATGGTGCTGTGACTTACTGGGCACGGCGATATCGATAAGCAGGTGTTTTCTGAAGTCGCTGCCTGGAGGTTTGGTGACGTTGTCTGATAAAGGAGTTATTAATGTCGGTTACTTGGGGACGGAGCCCGACTTGAACGCTAACGCAGCCCCCGCGATGAACGATACTCTCGATCCGGAACAAGTGCAGGCTGAGCTAGAAACGGTCGAAGAGGAGTTACAAGCTATTTTAGAGAGTAAAGGAGGTAAAGTCGTCCGGCTACATAATATTATCTGAAAATATACATATAAGCAGAACGATTTATTACCAAAATTAACTTTCAGATACCGTAAACAGCTCGCTGGGAATTCTTCAAGCACTAACAATAAAAGCTGACGTCGGAAAACCTGCCCAAAATCTATTCCAACAGTACTCAGACGATAAAGACGTGGCACTACATTTGCTAATGTGTCCTGTAGTTGTCATGCTCACCTGTGAAGATCCACAGCTAATCCAAAACATTCAAATAACTTATGTTTGCACTCCACCATTTGCTTGTTCTGAATCTACAATTTGTTTGGAAAATATAAACGGAACAGAAATTATAGAATCTCAAGTGTTTTTGACAAACTACACGGAAATAAGTGACACGAAAGCAGAAATATTATTCACAATCACTGACAATATTGGAAAAATAGTAGTGCTATCCCGAAGTGTAGTGTTACCTATAAGTTTGTACTGCATTCTCAATGACAGTGAACTGGAGAATCCCTTCAGGTTGAATATTCTTACAAACCAGCCCTGTATAGAATTTAGCAAAATATTTACTGGTAAGTTGGATATAGCGCTACTCAACCTTCTTTCTGTACTCGTATAAGAATTTTGTCAGATGTAGTTTATTTGAATTATTTACAGATTTTTCTGAAGAAGAATTGTACAGCTTAGGTAATTCTTCAAGTAGCGTCAACTTCATGTACCGGTCCACAAAAAAGACAGTGGTGTTAAGAGCTACCGACGCACTTTACTCGATTGAAGCAGAAGATTTTCCAGAAATGTCAGCTGTACTCGGTCACTTGATTTACAAACTGGCTGACCATTTTTTGAGGATGGGCGTAAAAGACTTCAAATTCAATGTAAAGATGACCAAGGAACTATTTAAACAAATGACATTTAAATTCTTGAAAAGTGTTGAAACACACGCTAAAGATAGAATGAAATTGAAAGGTTTGGAAGTAGGTATTGAGCCTTCTTGTGAAATGTGTTTCAATAAAACGAAATAAAGTAATTGTTTTTTGTTTTGTAGGAGGAATTGAACGTCTTACAAAAGCAATTCACAGTAGTTCAGAAAAGATTGCTAGTTCAATACGGATCTCTGCCACCGGGTGATTGCGATCCTCTAGAATTTCTGATGAGAGACACTCACGAAAGGTTAATCAAATGTGCAGACGAAATTCTAGTAAATAAAGACAATGTTTGCAGGTAATTTCATTAGATCTTTATACAAAATTACCATTACATAATTACATTTAGGGCTGATTTTTCAACCGTCGGATATCTTTTAACTGAAGAATAAGTTTGGCACATTGACAGTTTTAGTACGAGAAACATGTCAAAATGACAATGTTATTCTTCAGTTAAAAATATCTGACGATTGAAAAATCAGCCCTTACTTAAATAAAAGTACCTATCTGCTTATTTTTCAGGGCTGGCTGTACATTAATCACCATGGGCAACTTAATAATTTATATTTTCAAACAGACGGGCATAGAAGAGTTTAAAATCAAGCTTATAGAAGAAATGCTGTGTTTGACATCTCTTTACGAGAGTTATCAAGTAAGTAAATATAATTAAATAACAAAACTCATATAGTTTTAGGTTTTATTACGTAATTCATAGGTTTAGCGCTTATAGATGACCCACGCTGAACTGTCCCACCAAACTCAATGACAGGGGGGCGCTACCATCGTTCAACTATATGGTTTCCAACATGGCAAAAATCTGAACCAGCGATCCGGTATTGACGGTGGCGCCCCACTGTCAATGTCATCGATAGGACAGTCCAGTATTTTGGAACTATAACTCAGTCAGTGCCTGTTGCCTGAAGTATGGAAGCGGCACGGGAGGGGTGACATTGACATATTATGACGTCTCAGGGCATACTGAAATCTCGCTGACATTTCGTAGGTCGAATAACGAAAAGACGTACCTAACTGATTTTTATCAATTTTTTTGAAGAATTTGAAGTATAGAAAATGTGCATTTCAGCCCTTTTTAACTGTCAATACTGGCTTTCTAACAAAGAATTCAGCTACGATCTTTTGTGAGGTTATAAAATGAATCGTTTTTAAATAATATGGTGTGTTCAACTCACTATCGCCAATTTGTTAGTTACGTCTTTTCGTGATTCGACCCACGATTGATCGTCACAAAATCACCCTCTCGTGCTGCTCCCATACCTCAGGCACTGACTGAGTTAAGACCTTTACTCCCTTATTACGAAAAAGTTAAACCTGAGACGATCACTGGTTTAAAATGACATTTCCATACTAGATATATGTAAACCTTCTGTAATAAGATCAATATTTTACAGGAATGGGAAGAAGCAGTGACCCAGTCACTGTCATACATATTGAACAAAGTGTTCAACAACACCGAAAAAGACAAAGAGAAGCTAGCACCAGTGACGGAACAAGGAATCCTTTCCCACATCAACTTGAAGAGATTCATGAAGCAACTACGCATTGTGTTGGAGAAACTGTACTCAGAAGCGTACGAAGACGCGGATTTAGAGGACAAGAGCCGAGAGAAAAAGATAGAACGGATTGAGGAGATTGTTGAAGTTTTATGAGCGTAAAAAAATTGATGTTGACGATTTGTGAAAATATTTCTTTTAACCTACCTACGATCGATAGCTATCGGTAAGGCTGAATTGCACCACCTAACTTTAACCGTAATTATAACGAAAACCGGTGTTTTTTGTATAGAGTTTGACAGATTTTTGACGTTTGTTAAAGTTAAAGTAAGATGGTGCAACTCATCCTAAGAAACTAAAATATCAGTCAGTATTATTGTGTTTCTTGTGGATTGTGTAGTGTTCACAATGTTGAGAGTTTTGTTAGAAACTTAACGGGAATAAAATAAATCAATAAAATGTTGAATTATTTACCTCCAAATGCATTTTATTAAAATCTTATTTAGCAATAATTTTAAAATTACAACTTGTAATAAAAATTGTACACGTACCTACATAATTTAGCTTATGTGTTATAGGTGAAATATACATAATGCCTGTACACTGCTCATTATTAATTATATTAAAGTATTATGTCATCGTGCGTATAAAAAAGAGAATTTAAATGCCAAATACCTATGGTATTGAATTTAATTGTAAATAATGGGCTTTGTACAGTTATGCCTAGTTACAAATAAATAAACTGCTCTGTATAAACATCAACAAAGCTTTATTCCAACTTTAGGTCTTAGTTATAAATAATGTAGTCGAATATCCCTCACACTTCATTGCAAATAAAATTGTTACACAGCCTTGATGCGTATAAAAATATAGTCCCTTATTATTTGGACAGCGGAACGGCATTTAAAGCTTTATGTGTGGTATATAAATCATTATTTTATAAAGACTTAGTATTTGAGTACATCTGCAGAGTAGTACGTTTCATACCTTACTCAGATAGTCATTTCCACTTAGATAGCAATTCGTATTTTGATAATTCAGTATTTAGAAACGTAGCTCGAGTCAAACTCAAGCATAAAACCCAATCACAGGTAAATATTGAGCACCGTTTTGGAATACAGTCGCGAGTATAAGTAATTTTGGACCGAATTTAGAGTGTAATTTCAACTGATTGTTATTTGTTCATTTGCAACAGAGCGTGGGGGCATTCAAGCGACGTGTAACAGTGAGTAGAGAACGAGATTGAGGTACAGCAAATGTACCAGTAGCAGGAGTACCTTGTCGCGTCATTTCTTCTTGGCGTCTTTCAGACCGGCGCCCGCGTTGAACTTGAAGAAGATTATGTCGCCATCTTCTACTACGTAGTTGCGACCTGTGAATGAACGAAATGGATGCATAAAATGAAAAAAAGCAATGTTTGGCAAAGCGACTTTTACCACTGAAACTTGCATACGGTGTCATAATGTTCCGGTAGGGACAAAAACTCGCGGTTCCGTTTCATAGGGCTCCGGAGAACACTGAGGCCGTCTCCATCGATCGGTCAGTGGGTATGCAACTTTATGAAGTAGTCACATTTCCCGACGGAAAAAAAAATACGTCCAAACTTTACTACTCATAGGAGATTAGTAAAGCTACATGGCATGGCTTCGTGAGGTGACAAATGTGACGTAGCATGCGCGGGTTTTATGTAGTCTGTGACATACGGGCCAAGTATGACACAGGACTAAACGTACTATGATCGCACTAAGCTCACGCATCTTCGCAAATTATCATCGTGGTATAAATAGTGCGAATCGAATTCTCTCAAAAAAAAGAACGCGTAAAACTAAACAATGTGGCATCTCATTTAGTTGCAATAGGTACTACTTACTTTGTAAGAAAGTAGAAGTTTGAATTAGTACATAATGTCAGTGAGAATCAAGTAAATTACCTTGTTGCCGATATTTGCCGGCGGCCTTGCAGGCGGCCTCAGTGCCTTCCTCTCTGAAGTCCTTGAAGTGCATCACTTCAGCCATGATGAAGCCCTTCTCGAAGTCAGTGTGGATCCTGCCAGCGGCTTGCGGGGCTTTCGTTCCTTTCTGTAACAAAAAGTTTAATTTAGACGAAGGATTTCTATTTGTGATATAAAAATATCAGAATGATGACTATGTGACTATGACTATTTTGTAAGCTTACGAATTTAAATAGGGCAATGGACACCAGTTCATTGACATAATATTTTGTATGCTGTCGGTGCCTTTTTACTGTGATGTAGATTTGGGCACGCGTGAGTGGTACGCATAAAAGGAGAATGGCACCCAAAACGCGACCTTCTTTTTGACTTTTATGTCAATAGGGACTATGCCGTCATCAGGTCCACCATATGCTCGGTGGCCCGACGATCACAAAAAGAAAGCTGGCTAGCTAGATGAAGTGAGCTTATGATAATGAACATTGAAACATTTTAAGCTTATGTTAAGCCAGTTTACAAACCTGAATAGTCCAGGCCTTCACTTCATCGGGGCCAGCAGTGAAGAAGTATTCTAACTGCAGTGCTTTGTATCCTTGGACGATAATTTTATCTAACGCGCTGAAAAAGTAAGTAATAATTAGTTAAAAATTATAATCGAATACCTATAAACGCACGCATCAATCTAATGTCGTGTCTCACAGTAACTTACCTTGTAATGTTGTGTTCTTTTAAGTACGCTTTTTTTTCCTCCGGATCCATTTCCATTAGTTTACTTTCTAAAACTCCAGAGAATGGAATTAGGGGAGCGCCAGGATCATTCTTATCGATCCATTCTTTGAGCTTGGGTAACCTGAAAATTACCAATGAAGTATCCATCCACAAATGAAATAAAAATATTATAATACATAGTTAAGACACGTACCATTTATTCTTCTTCCGAATGTAGTCTTTTTCGGATAAGTTCACTAAATACAGAGCGGGCTTGGATGTCAAAAACAAGTATTTGTTCAGGACTTCTATCTGTAATAATAATATTTTTATTAGAACTAAAAAAAAAAAAACTAATATCACATTATTATAACAAATATTTTAATAAAGGGTTACTTACATCAGCGGCGCTCCAGTCTGCGAATCTAATGTGTTTTTTCTCGTCAACCAAAATAGACTTTATCTTCGTAAGTGCATCCTAAAAAAATATAAAATATATTATAGTGCAGTCGCAACGCTACAACGGAAAACTAATAGTAGTGCGGCAAGCTCGCCACAGCGGCGTCACTGCAGCGCTTCCTCACGCCTTTTAAATAATTCAAGGCGGCCTAATGCCCGTCTTCACCATCAATCCCTATGAAAACGTGAAACGTTAAGTGACCCCTATGAAAACAAAATTCCTGTCATGTGTTACCATAGGGGTCACTTAAAAATTAGGAATTGGCTATTAGGCTCATTTAACTACTTTCGCAACTGAACGAATGTCAGATAGAACTTCTATAAGAAAATCTTACATATTCAGGCTTGAGTTTCTTATCGCCTCCGCGGTTGACGACGCGGTCGAGCTTCTCAAAGTTCTGCATGAGTTGCTCCTCATCCTTCAGCCGTAACTCCTCGCCGATGGTCTCCAGATCCCTCACTGGGTTCACGTCTCCGTCCACGTGGATTACATCCTCGTCGTCGAATGCACCTATGGATAATATGAATTTTATGTTACAAATCTGTGTCATTCTCGTTCAGAATACATTTGGTTGAGGCTTCTTTGGCGGATTGTTGAAGGCTTTAGAGCCAAAGCATGCGAAGCGTTACAGATATTTCTAAGTAAATAAGACGACGCAGCGACACAATGGCGTCACACCGCAGCCGCAACGCATCGTGTGCTTTGGCTCTTAGCGCTATATTTCACCGGGACACCATGGCGGTGCAACCAGTCGCCGCTACCAACAAAATGCGCAACCAAACGGACACCAGTAGGCCTAAGATGCGCGCCGTGATAGGCGGTTATCACGCCATTTTATCGATTTTGCCCATACAAATTGACGTCGATAAAAGTTATCACGGCGCGCATCTTAGGCCTACAGGTGAGTAACTCTCTATTGAGCTCTATACATTTTGTTGGTAGCCGGCGACTGGTTGTGCCGCCATGGTGTCCCTGTGAAATATAGCCCTTAGGGGTTAGGTATACAATACAATCGAGAAAATGTCATTCGTTATCATTCAATTTCCATTTTTATCTGACTCGTCAAACTTATCGATACATTACTTTCTAGATGTAAAAAAGACATTACTTACGACATAAATTGAAAATAGCATCGCAAGCCTTGATGTGGGATAAGAACGCGTTGCCCAACCCTTGTCCTTCGGCAGCCCCTCGCACCAGCCCGGCAATATCCACCACGTTCAAGAATGCTGGGACTTTGCTAGAATGAACACAGATTTGTTGGTAAAACCAAAGAATAATATGTACTACGTACAGAAAGTTATCTTCGCGAAGGTATTTAAAAAAGTGTCTACTCAATGCTGTCAACAATATGGTGTAATTTAGCTTGTCTCAGAGTCGAGCATCGAGCATGGTTTCGTTTACATACGTCAGTGATCGGTACTGTGCCGATTCTATAGGGATGACTACTACAAGAAGATACTGTGTCGCCTTCTAGCGCACCTCGCGCGTATTTTTATTCTTTTCATTGTGAACAATGGGTGAAGTATCCCTAGCGGATTAAACCCGCCGCGGCGCATGAAAAGGCCTGGGAAAACCAGTAAAACGCCTGAAGGAGCTGGTAATATTATTATTTATTTAAAAACACTTACCTAGCAGGTTTGTGGAACTCGCAGAGATAATCGAATCTCTCGTCAGGCACAGGTACCCTACGTGCTGAAAGGAAACAAAAAAATCTAGTTAGACCTCTGGAAAACTTCCTGATTAGATAAATAGTGCAAAGACCAAGTTACCTTAGATGTTACATTATTTATCAAATAATTTTCTTAAGCGCTAGGATAATTTATAAAATTTAATTAAAAAAATTTTTTTTTTTTAAGTATTGGATATCGACTGACGCAGATCCGGCAACTCGCTTCGTCGATTCACTCATTCATTCAAGTTCTAATACTCATTCAGTTGTTTACTTTATCGTAATTCGAGTACCGAACAGTCAGTCGCTATCCAACCTCTGCCGCGAACAGACGTGTTGTGGAAAGTTTGTGAAGTGTTGTGTGGAAAATTTGTGAAGTGTTTTGTGGAAAGTTTGTGAAGTGTTTTGCGGTGAAAATACTGCTCGAGAAAACTCAGGTTAGTTACTATTTTTATGTACATTAATATAAAAGAAGATTATGAGATAAATATTAATCGATTTGGTAATATTCTTGTATAATACTAATTATTTACACCGTAATCGTTTTACTCGTAATATTATTCCTGAACTTCTTTTATAAGTGATATTCAAACACAGCAGGTATATATTTTGTGTTTAATCAATCAATAACATGTAAAATAAAGAAAATTACAACAATAACTACTATTTTTGATATTCCGAAACGACTGTATAAACGCTCGCAGACCCATCAATAATACTTGATGGTTTTCGCACGGTTCCAGAATCCAAATATCTCACTCGAGTCGTATTACTACAGCATTTCGGATATTTCACAAACGGGTTATCCATCGATCTCAAACGTAAACCTAAATCAATTATCAATTTACATCTAGCATCATAAATCTTCAAAGCTCTGTCATACAGCGACAGCACTGACTTATCACTTACTGGGTTGTGACTCTTCAAATACAAAGCTATGTAAAGTGACCCAGACGCCTGAATGCTGAGACCTGGATATTTGGGTCTAAGTACATTAGCACAACAGCACGCTTCGGTGATAAGTTTACCTATTGTCTGCTCCAGATAGCCTATATTCGGTAACTTTTGTAAGGATATCTGCGGAAATATTTTCGCTTCCTTGAAAACTTGGATATCATAGTACATGTGCGGTTTAGCTAAAAACATTTCGAGGCATTTCGGACTGCAGAAGAGGTAAGTTTTTCCTTGAAAATTTGCAGCGTACTTATGATTTCCTCTGACAATCTTTTGAGACGGTAAATTTTGGGCGTACGTCACAATACATACACCATTTTCATATACCAGTGAAACATTTATCGTTTTAACAACCGCCGGAATTTCCGGTATTTCTATATCACTAATAGACAAATAGCGACTGGGATACTTCAGTACAGACTTTATGTGATCAGGACATATCCAATAAAATTTGTTTTTATACTGGACTACACCTTTCTTGTCTACAGGATAGTCACTGTGACGTAGGACATTAATCTGGAGACAGAGTGGACACATATTTTGATAAGCGGACATTCGTTTGCGAAATGTATCGTCAGAAATACACATACAACTTGGCAATACAATGTTATCCGACACATTGTTCAAGTAATAATGTATTTTTGGCATTGTTTCATTTATATAATTTGTTGCATATTGTAAACATTGCCATCGTGATTCCTTTCCATTAATAACATATAAGTTTTGGGGATCTTGGTTTACCCAATCTCTTATTTGATAACATTTGTTAACCCAATATTTAAATCGGTTTTCAATAAAAGGTTCTGAATAAGGCGGTTTTTTCTTTATTATGTCGTAGTAAACTTCATCTTGGGAATGTTTTATTAGAGGATCCTTGTCATTAGTTATATCAAATATAACTGTGGGATATAACCCTGCATTTGTAAGTTCCATAGCTTCTGAAGATGTTTCAGGAAATCCATCAAAAACAAAACCATAAGTCATGGTGCGATGATCAATCGCGACACTTTGGATGGCGTTCATCACATGTTCCGAGTTTATGGAATCTCCTTCGTAAAGAGCTTTTTTCATTCTTGATGCTAGTTCGGTCCAATACATGTGCTCTAATATGTAGCGCACAGCCATTCCTTTCGATATACATAGTAAGTCGTATTTTTTTGCAAATTTAGCCGCCAATATGCTTTTACCTGACTTAGGCGGTCCGATAACAGAAATCATTATGGGGTATTCTATAAAAGAGTCAATGTAGTTTAAGCTCAAGTATTTTAGAGGATTAGTTCTAAATTCCTTTAAATTTTCCTCACCAAATATAAAATATACATAGGCCCTATGAATAACGGGGAAGATTTTTCCTTTCCGTTTCATAATTTTAAAGGGGTTTAAAATGGTTTTTGGATTTTGAGAGATGTACACAGGACACATGCGGAAAAATTTGCTAAAGAAGAAAAATCCTTCTAACAGCAACATTTCTGCGATATCGGTATTAATTACAAATGTTTGTTCAAGAAAGGAATGGGAACGATTCCTTAACTTTGTTAATTTAAATAATGTAGTTCGTAACACCTTGTTTAAACTTTTTGTGCCATTAATAGACACGATTGTTATTCTCTGTTCAATTAAAATGTCTTTGAGAGATTGTATTCCTTCGTCATCTGCCTCATAAATGCCTTCTAATCTAGAGTCAATTCTTTCCCGGGCTTCATCGGGTTTTTCCCATTCACTTAGATCAACAGGAGCAGGATATTCTTGAATCATATCGTTATAGAAGGTAAACAAATTCACATCTACGTTTGATGATCCCATTGGATGGGCGTCCATTATTACACTACCTGCAGATCCAATTTTGGCAGGTTGTTCGTCTATAGAAGAAAATATATTATCTAAAACGTCTTCAAAAATTAGTTTAGCAACAACATTCTTCGTAATAGAATTCGTCCATTCTTGAGTTTCCTTATCAAGCTTTAGTTTTGCTAACCTTTTAGCTTCATTGAGTTGAGTTTTCCATGTTTTATACATTTTAGGTGATAGCCGTTGGAGCATACTTTCGGAACTGCCTTCAATTTCTATGACTAAATCAGGAATGCAGAAACATGCAACCATATCTTCAACGTCAGAAGGTATGCGAGGGTACCCATCTAGTATAAATCCTGTGTTTACGAAAGGCTTCTCAAACCAAATCTTTTTAATCAACTTTTGCATCAAAACCGACATAATTGGTGCGCCCCTTTCTAAATAATTATAAATCATTCGTCTTATTTCTGTTTCATTTCCCAATAAATCTGATGCAAGGTTTTCATTTTCTTCGTCCATTTGAAATTCCATTACACCCTCCTCGTCTATTGACACATCAGTAAAACTATTTTCATATTGACGGCCTACCTTTTTGAAATGGCGTGGCATTAATAGTGTGTTAATTACCTCAGAGAAGTCTATGTGGATTAGGCCCAGTTCTTTTGCTATTATTTTAGATATTGTTGATTTTCCACAACCTAAACAACCAATTACACAGATTCTTAAAGGAGGAAGTGATTTAAATGGTTTGTTGTATTTTTGATATCTAGTAATATCATTTTGGAATAATCCTGAACATTCTTCTTTGGAGAAAAAGTGTAATTTATTGTTGTGTTTTACACTGAATTCAGGTTTCCCTTCCCAAAGTACTCCAAAATCATAAAAGGCAATAGGACAGTATATGCCTGTTTCACATAAAAATCGGGGGTTGTTATACGTGAGGATATCTTTAGGAATTTCGTCTTCATCTTCTTGCGATTCTGATTCTTCATCTTCATTAACTTCAGGCGTTAAGTAATAGTTTTTACGTAAGTTTAATAGAACTTCGTCTATGACTTCTACATCGGTCTTATTCTCAAGTTCAATTTCTATAAAAGTTTTATTATTCTCATCCAATTTTAGTTTCACACTATCCCAATCTTCACGAAACTTTTCTATAGACGCAGTGAAATTACCAATCACGTCTGCATCAGGGGTTTCCTTGTTTTCAACTTCGACTGGAGCTTTACTTTCGACGAAAATTGTATCTAATATTGAACCAACAGAATCGTTGACTAAGTTTTGCACGTCTACTACGTTAGCATTGGGGAAAACTTTGGTAAGAAGTTTTGTCTTTATTAGAGGATCATTGGCCAAAGCAAGTCGTTCTTGGTAGTTTTTTGGACATTTTGCGATCTCTGCATAGTACTGAACAAGTTCCGGTTCTATTTCTCTGTTTTCTATTAGACTCACAGTATGATCAGGCAATAATTTTGCTTCACTGAGATATCCCCAAAACTCTGGATCAGAGGGGAAATTGTCTATAATAAACCGACCATATGATCCGAAATTTTTTAACGATTCATCATCAATGTCTGACAAAATTCTTATCATTTCATTCATTAACTCTTCATTAGTTGGTTCAATGTCCTTTTGCAAGTCATTTGCTGTAATGTAACTTGCAACAGCTTCAGTAACATCCGGATCGCCTAAAATTGGAATAGCTGGTTTTTCTGTAACATTGATCAATTCCACAGGGGCAAAGTTGACAAAAGTTCTATCCCGAATCGAATTTATACATTGATCTAGATCTTCAATATATGGTAGGAAAGATAACCGTTTTTTTAAATCTTCATACTTTGTTAGCAACTTTGGATCAATTTCCTCTCTTTCTTCTCCTTCTCCCCCCTCTTCTTCTGTGATTTTTTCTACTGACTTTGTAAATTTTAATACTTCTATAAAAACGGCAATGTACTCATTTAAATTATCTACCACCCTATCACCCCACTCATTTAAGTTATTCCTTCTTTCTGTTTCTTTGTATTGCCATTTCGCGAATCTTGCATCTTCAAGGGTTGCTATTATTTCCGATAAAATGGTTTTTGCAAATGTAGTATATTTCTTTTCTTTCTCCTCTTCTACAAAAAGGTCATAATTTATTATTGGCGTGTCAAAAATCCATGATAAACAGTGAGAGATCATAGTTTTCCCAGAAGTTTTGGTCCCCATAACTATTACTCTACATGTAGGCTCTAAATATTTTAATTTTAAGTAGGGCCTTGGGTTACGACAGAATGCTATCATCCCATCCAGCGAAGCTATTAGATATACGTGTTTAAAAAATGTTACAGCTAATTTTGGATTGCCTCGCTGTGATCGCCTTTTCTTTAACTCTACGGGACATCGGTTGAGCCACAATGATGGATAACGGTTGAAATTCACTGGTCCATTTCGAATAACATTAAGTTCTTCAACCATCTTCCAAAAATCTTCCATTTCTTCTGGAGGCTCTTCAAGATACAAAGGTTCTGGAATGAGCACAGGCTGTATTGCTAGAAATAACAATCTTTCATTTATATGGTGCATCATTTCATGGACTGTTACTCTAGCATCTAATTTTATGATACATTTTGGATCATAATCATTGAGTTTTTCTTCAAGAAATGTTAGGACTTCATTTTTATAATTACACAACTGTTCAACTGAATTTTTGGTATAGTTGATAGGTTGTCTACAGCTATATTTGGGATTGAAAACATGAGTATCATAGGGACTATTATAGTCACTCATAGAATATCTTGCTGGCCATCTCAGTTCTGATTCAGTAATGGCACAAAACTGATCAAAAGTAAAGAGATTACTTTTGTAATTAAAATATTTATGACTCTTTTTGGTTACTAAGTCTTGATCAGGACATGTTAGATATACTACGATGTCAGGCTTCATGGTGAGGTTCAGTAATTCGTTAAACTGTTGCAAAAACACGGATTTCTTTGTCAGAAGACAAGGTTTTTTGCAGAATATAATGTCAGAACATGAATCTAATATAAATTTTGGAAGTGCTACAGGTATTTCTTCAGCTTCTTCCCCAACTTCCTCAGGTTCATGTTCTTCTTCGGCTTCTTCTTCAACGTTCACATCTGCTTCACTAGTCAATGAGGTATGAGGTGAACCAGCTTCAGGTTTAGGTTTCTTGGGTTTCTTTTTCTTAAGATTAACCAAAAACTCATAGATAACTTCATCTATAGCTTGCAATCCATCTTCTGAATATAAAACATTGGTCAGATATTGAGGTTTTCTACTTGAGCTTATCAAAGGGAAACCAGATATTACATAGCCTCTATGTTTCACTGCAGCTGATTCTAGTTTCTTTTTTAATATAGATAGTATGACATCATATTTCAGTACATTTTGCTGTCTTAAATTGAATTTTATGCATGTTCCTGTTGGACTTTCTTGGTCCATTTCATCCACTATGATATTTTTCGGACATAGGTGAATGCAGTTAAGTTTCTTAGACATTGCTTCACCAAGTGAGTAAGCACCTGCACCAGGTTTGCTTAGAATTATATAGCAAGTCGGCTTTGTATCCAAGAACTGTTGCTGGGCATCAAAATCTGTCCAAACTTTAGACTTTTTTGGAACGCCTGATAGTGTTGCTGCTGTATTGTCCAAGCCAATGACTGCTGAAGCCATAGGGGGAGTCGTAAAACTGGTGTCATCAGTGTTTTTCTGCACAATATTACACAGAGGTCCATTATAGATGGCACTCTTATTAACACCAATATTCTGTAAGCCATGTTTGTCAGTCACTTGCAAATTAGCAAGAAAATGTTCAAATTCTATCATTATTTCTAACTAACTTGACAGAATAAATATGTCAGTCTTTGATTACAAAATACTGTCAAGTGGATTATTTTTTTGTTTACCAAAGATCAGGCACTGAAGTTTCAAGGTGGCTTAGATTAAAAAAAGGTTGAGTGAATTATGATGATTAAAGACTCAACTACAAATAAACAATAATAACTCAAAGTAACTAAGAAGCCAAGTGTTTATGTGTTAAAAATATTTTCAATTGGGATTTCTTTCAAAAAAAATCCTGTACACATACTCTAATTTTCAATCTCTTTATCCATAAGAGATATTGAATGGATGGCTCCACACCTCTTGAATGAGAGTGCAAACAAAAGTACTTTAAGCCTAAAATTAATAAAAAGTTCAAAGAATAAAAATTACAAAGAAAAACAATAAAAAATACTTATTTTCATTAGGATCGATGGTGCAGAAAGGGAAGTTCTCAGCTGCTGCCTGGCTCTTGGTCAGCACATTGAAGAATGTTGACTTGCCCACATTGGGCACCCCCACAATGCCCACTTTGAGATTGGTCCCCACACGCCCAATGAGTGGCTTCTTTTCAGGCTCTTCAACCTTTTTTGGTGGCATTCTGAAACATTCAACATTATTATTTTCAACATTTAGAATTCTGAACATTGTTTAAGTATCATAAATGGTTATTTAGCGCACGCGACTTAGAAGTATTTTTTTCAATATTTATTTATTTATTATTCATTATTAAGCAATTACATATTTGATCCAAATAGCGTCCTAAATCCTAATAGAAGTAAAACTATTTTTATAATAGAAATAGGCCGGGTTCCACATAAAAACCGTATGTTCCTTATTTACTTCAGATTCTTAATATTAAATAAGCCTTTACAAACAAAGTATTACCTCACATTAATAGGTGAAAATGTGTTGACTGTGTTGTAATTAAATTTGCTCGAAAGACTGAATTAAATAGTCACAATCAGTAAATCCAAGGGGTTCTTGAGGAGTTCTAGATAACCTATTCGGAATACATTTGTTTTTATTTAACATACCTGGACTGTTTTAGTTTCAGGGGCGAAGTAAAACAAAAAACCGGAACTTGTTATAGCGACTAATCTAAGTTAACTTTAAAGAAAACACGTATTTTTTAGATTATTGAAAGGAAAGATACGCGTGTAGACATTCCGTCCGGACGGCAGCTCAATGCGTTCCGAAAAAATGTATAATTAAGATTTTCTTATTTAACTGCAAAATAAAAAATGTTTCTTGCTCTCATTTTGCAATTCTACTAAAAATTAGTTCGTAAATGGTAACAAACGTTTAACTATTAGTATTGAAGAAGAGACAAACAAAGAAAAAGAGGTTTTCTGTTTAAGAAAATAATGGTTGAGGACTGATTCGGACCTTTGCATACTCTCTAATCTGTGGACCTTTGTGTCATTGTCAGCTACGTTCCTTTCTACGGCACAGAGCATGTTCTATTGATTATACATTAACATTTATGAACGCAGGGCGAATAGACGTAATTTCAAAGAAAATAAGTTATTTCTGCATGTAAAGTCGGATTCTTTAGAAATTTCCCTATAAGTAAACAAATATGGCCAACTGACATTAAAACATTTTTAATCTGTGCCCTAGTGAGGCGACAAAACCTCTCGTTAATCGCGGAGTGAAATTATTGTAGTACTTACGTACCTATAGAAAGAATTTATGTGTGCATTAAACAATTAGTAGTACATTCAATGAAGAAAAAATACATTGTTGATTAAGACCCTATTTAAATGCTATCAGTAATAAAAATTATTGAATAATTGAAATAAAATCGATTAAATTTACCGATTATTGTCTATGACTTACAGGTTACAACACTGATGTGTCAGAGACAACATGGAGATTAACCATGAAGCTACAGATAAAAATGGAGGCCACACTCCGAATACCTACTTGAAGCACAAACTAAGTATCACTATCTCGCTCTCTGTGGGCAGACTCGCTCTTTCTAAATAAACAAAAAATATAAAATTGCTCAAATTCAATGAAACCAATGTAAAATCTTTATTTCTTGACATAGGTATCATTAAAAATGATAAGTGTAATTACTGGTAAAACGTTTTAGGAAGAAATTACTGTAAAAAATATGAAAAATGTTTACAATGATCCAATGTCGGAAATTACGAAATAAACACTTACGCGTGGAATCTTATGTCACTTCCAGGACACCACGTACTACCGCAACCACGCACTACACAATTTTGCACCAATTCTTGTGATAAAACAATGATTATTTCCTGTAAACAATCTCAAACGAAATTAACTGCTTAATAAACAAAATAGTAAACAACCGCCATGATGGGCCGGATTGGGCCGATGTTGCCACATGGTACCGATTACCCAGCAATTGGGATTGTAATTCCCTGATTCGCCAACACATTAAGCCTAAATGGCCGACAATTTTGTGATTTTTTATTTAACTAGGAAATCTTAGTTTCAAATATTAATTATTTATTTGTTTAACTTCTGATTTGGTTAGTGAATTGGCTATTTCGAAGAATTTACAAAGAGATTTAAATCAGAAGATAGCAATACTACAGTTCACACTAAAAAGAGAGGTAGGGCCGCAGAGAGCGAGATAGATATAAGTAGGTATTTGACTCAAGTTTTTGTTCCAACTCTGCCCTCCATTTTTATCTTTAGCTTCATGGAGATAACACATAATTTTAAACTTCAAGTCAATTTGACAAGTCTCACAAATTTTCATCGTCCACTTATTTTTCTAAAATAATTTGTTTAAAGATTGATTCCAAACTTGTATAATCGTGAGAATAAAGTTGGTTTCATGGGCTTGTGAAATAATGTGTATGATATTATGAACACGTAAGTGATTATGGTGTAATTGTGTGCACAAGTGTTTGTTTACATTTAAGGAAATTTCTAAAGAATTTAGGTATAGTGTTGAATAGAACCATAAAATAATTGTCTATTGGAAACCATGGTTGGAAACATTTCTAGCAGCACAGACAAGTAGCGAGAGTCGCCAATAGATGGCGCTGTAAACATTTAAATTAACGGTATACCAAAATTATTTTGAACAAAATTTAATTTTGTACACTGCACTGCTGGTTGTGTATTCCATGTACTTACTATATTTGCTTTTGCCCTTTCTCTACAAACTCTACATGAAGTAATGTACTCTAATGAAGAGTAGGTAGGTATTTAATTTTCAAAATTAATTAATGTAATGGTATATTTGAAAATTAAAACAATATTTAAACTGAATATTTTAATAGTATAATTTAATTTGAACATTATAGTGTAGATATTTATTATTTATGTTGTTAAAGCAGCCCATGGAGGAGACATTGGTGCAGGGTTTTGCAAATAAGACATGGCAACAGCAGAAATAGACAACATGAATGAGCTCACAATCTGAAAAGAAAAAATATGCGAATAATTTTCAAATAAAATTTCAAATCTTAGTATTCATGTCTGAATAAGTTCCTGTTGCTGTTGCAGCAACAGGAACTACATCATCTAGCAAAACTATCTTCAATAATTATTTTAAAAACATATTATGTAAAAAAGTATAACAAAAATGATGTTTTTATTGTCCTTGAGGAGACATGTAAAGAGCCTTTTTAAGGCTACATTTTTTGTATTATTTATTCTGACATCCATAATTGAATAAAAATACTTCATTTCCATTGGTAACAAACCTGTTTTGTATCATCAGAGACTCTCGCATTGGCAACACTAATGCTGGAGCAAAAGATGGCAGTCCACGCACACCATTTCAATCGCATCATAAGTCCACACATTGAAAAGATCATACCTGAAATTTAAAAAGATATTTGATTTAGATAATGTTTATTTCCAAGAATATGGTACAATGGTTTGATCTTTATTTATAAATAAATAGGTACCTATAGAAGTTTTTATTACCTACTATAATATTTTACAAAGTACATAGTTGTTTTGTTCCATTAGTAAGAAACAGTGTGGTGAGTTATTTATTTCGTAACATGAGTTTTTTACAAGTAGTTAAGTTAAATTCTCAAGGTTGCTATACGAGGTTAATATTTTAGGTCGTTTATGAAAACAATTTTAACATCATAAAGAATCAATATAAGATCATACTCAGTATATTCATGTAGTCCGTTGTTAGATCTTCTACTGGAGCCGATGTGGGAGGAGGTGGTTTGTATCTCCTTTCCCTATCAGCACGTCTGGGGTCCGATGTAAGTTGCATCTGAAAAAATATCTTCCTTTAGCTAGGTATGTTGTATCACCGAAATTCAGTAGTTACTACAGATAAACTAAGAATAATATACCAAGGTAATAGTAGGATTATTGTTAATGTAGATGTAGATAGTGTCCGAGTCTATAATCGCAGTATACATGAGGAAAATATTGTTACTACTAAAATTATAGAATACTCACTTTTTTGGTTTTTACTATTGGCCCGCAAATAATTATATCGGGACTTAACGAAGTCTTAAAACGTTATTCAACTTATTCAGCTACTCAGTCAGTAGTAGCTGCTACTAAATAAATAAAATTAATCTTCGACTTTTCGTCGTCGTGACCTAAAAAACAGATTGTCATTCACAAATTGAGTGAACTGACAGCTGACAGTGACATACAACGTCACACACAGCGTGACCAGGGTACGGAAACTTCCATACTACGATCAAACTTGCTTCCAAACAGCGACTTCAGTCGATAAATTCCAATACTTTTTTTTTTCTTTATGGCTCTCGCGGATTGCGTTTAGCCACGACAGGGTTCTTGNAAAACATATTATGTAAAAAATTATGACAAGTTTTTATTGTCCTTGAGGAGACATGTAAAGAGCCTTTTTAAGGCTACATTTTTTGTATTATTTAATTTGACATCCATAATTGAATAAAAATACTTCATTTCTATTGGTTACACATCTGTTTTGTATCATCAGAGACTCTCGCATTGGCAACACTAATGCTGGAGCAAAAGATGGCAGTCCACGCACACCATTTCAATCGCATCATTAGTCCACACATTGAGAAGATCATACCTGAAATTTAAAAAGATATTTGATTTAGATAATGTTTATTTCCAAGAATATGGTACAATGGTTTGATCTTTATTTATAAATAAATAGGTACCTATAGAAGTTTTTATTACCTACTATAATATTTTACAAAGTAGTTGTTTTGTTCCACTAGTAAGAAACAGTGTGGTGAGTTATTTATTTCGTAACATGAGTTTTTTACAAGTAGGTAAGTTAAATTGTCAAGGTTGCTATACGAGGTAAATTTTTTAGGTCATTTATGAAAACAATTTTAACAGCATAAAGAATCAATATAAGATCATACTCAGTATATTCATGTAGTCCGTTGTTAGATCTTCTACTGGAGCCGATGTGGGAGGAGGTGGTTTGTATCTCCTTTCCCTATCAGCACGTCTGGGGTCCGATGTAAGTTGCATCTGAAAAAATATCTTCCTTTAGCTAGGCATGTTGTATCACCGAAATTCAGTAGTTACTACAGATAAACTAAGAATAATATACCAAGGTAATAGTAGGATTATTGTTAATGTAGATGTAGATATTGTCCGAGTCTATAAACGCAGTATACATGAGGAAAATATTGATACTACTAAAATTATAGAATACTCACTTTTTTGGTTTTTACTATTGGCCCGCAAATAATTATATCGGGACTTAACGAAGTCTTAAAACGTTATTCAACTTATTCAGCTACTCAGTCAGTAGTAGCTGCTACTAAATAAATAAAATTAATCTTAGTCTTTTCGTCGTCGTGACCTAAAAACAGATCACAGATTAGAGAGTACACAGATTAGAGAGTATGAAACAGATTGTCATTCACAAATTGAGTGAACTGACAGCTGACAGTGACATACAACGTCACACACAGCGTGACACAACACAGACAATAAATATTTCGTAAAAAAATGGCCCAAGTTCTTACAATGTGGCGCTATCTAGCGTACGATGCGCTCCGTTCTATCTTCAGTATTTCTATTCGCCGCTAGATGGCACTGTACACATAGTACCAAAGATCATAGTTAACCTTTTAAAGTTCCATGACGTGGATATTTTTTTGGCGGGAAAGGGACGTTTTTATTTGATTAATTCAGTAAAAAAATCTAAATGTCTATCAATGTGTAATAGTGGTGGACGTGGACCGTGACGTGGATTACTAACTGACAGTGTAGCCAAACAGTTAAGTACGCATGCGTGAGGTCGTTTCAGTGAAAAGACCCACATCTTTCCTGAAATTCAATGGGAGCGGGGTATATTCCTATCATGCATACAATCAATTTAATTATTATTTAAACACAGATACCTAACTTTATTTTTTACCTTAAACCTACCTAGAAAAAAGACTTTCAAAACCTTAAAACAACGTTATGCAGGTAATGTTGTTTTAAGGTTTTGAAATACATTTTATCAAAAGGTTGATGGAAAGTTTGATACGAACCATCGTTAGGCTCTATGCGATTTATCTAACAGTGTGTTATTATTGCGACAAACAATACCTATTAGTCATAATTCGGAGTCAAAGTCTAAAAAAGTAACTAATTCTATCAGTGATACTAACAAAGCTAGGCTCTTAGCGGTTTCTTGTAGGGAATCCGGTCACTGGCTAAATGCACTTCCCTCCAAAAATCTCGGAACATTTTTTGACAACGAGTCTTTCCGGGTGTGTGTGGGCTTACGCCTCGGTGCACCAATCTGTGTACCCCACACGTGTCCCTGTGGCAAAGAGGTGGACCAATTCGGTCACCACGGTCTATGTTGCCAGCAAAGTGCTGGTCGTCTCGCCCGACACGCTGCTCTCAACGACGCCATCAGGAGAGCCCTTGCCAGCATCAACGTTCCTTCCACGTTAGAACCACGTGGATTGGTCCGTGATGATGGCAAGAGACCTGATGGTCTCACTCTGGTTCCCTGGGAACGGGGACGGGCTTTAGTTTGGGACGCTACATGTGTCGATACTTTAGCCCCTTCCCACCTCAGGGAATCAGTTGCTAAAGCTGGGGCTGCAGCAGAGTCGGCTGAGTTAGCCAAACGGCGCAAATATGAGTCACTTTCTAATGACTACATATTTGCGCCTTTTGGTGTCGAGACCTTCGGACCTTGGGGACCGAATGCTAAATTACTGTTTCGGACCATTTCCCCTAAATTAATTAAAATTTCGGAAAATCTAAATGCTGGCTCTTTCCTTGCACAAAGGCTTAGTATTGCCATTCAGCGAGGAAATGCAGCCAGCATGCAGTGTTGCCAGTCGGGTCTAGTCAGAAATTACCAGAAATATAAAAAAAAGTAACCTTTTTGAATAAAAAGTAACCTTTATACCGTGGGGGTGCGGAGCGATGATTGTGTAAGGTTGTTCATAGATGGAAAATTAATACAATTGATCATCTAAATACGAAAAGTGACCAGTCGTATAAAAACGTTTCATGGATTTGCGTTTAATTATCGAAAAACATTCGCTAAAACTCATTTTTCTTAACAAATAATAACTCAAATTCAAGTTTAAAAGCACTTTATGACAATTTTTAAATTGTCACTATTAATATTTTTTACTGAATAACCTGTAAAGTTAATTCTACAATTTCTGAAAAATCACCTAAAAGTAACCTTTTCATTAGTGTAACCTAAAAGTAACCACAGCAGTTCAAAAGTAACCAAAAAGGTTACAAAAGTAACCTTCTGGCAACACTGGATTAGAGAGTACACAGATTAGAGAGTATGAAACAGATTGTCATTCACAAATTGAGTGAACTGACAGCTGACAGTGACATACAACGTCACACACAGCGTGACACAGCACAGACAATAAATATTTCGTAAAAAAATGGCCCAAGTTCTTACAATGTGGCGCTATCTAGCGTACGATGCGCTCCGTTCTATCTTCAGTATTTCTATTCGCCGCTAGATGGCACTGTACACATAGTACCATAGATCATAGTTAACCTTTTAAAGTTCCATGACGTGGATATTTTTTTGGCGGGAAAGGGACGTTTTTATTTGATTAATTCAGTAAAAAAATCTAAATGTCTATCAATGTGTAATAGTGGTGGACGTGGACCGTGACGTGGATTACTAACTGACAGTGTAGCCAAACAGTTAAGTCCGCATGCGTGAGGTCGTTTCAGTGAAAAGACCCACATCTTTCCTGAAATTCAATGGGAGCGGGGTATATTCCTATCATGCATACAATCAATTTAATCATTATTTAAACACAGATACCTAACTTTATTTTTTACCTTAAACCTACCTAGAAAAAAGACTTTCAAAACCTTAAAACAACGTTATGCAGGTAATGTTGTTTTAAGGTTTTGAAATACATTTTATCAAAAGGTTGATGGAAAGTTTGATACGAACCATCGTTAGGCTCTATGCGATTTATCTAACAGTGTGTTATTATTGCGACAAACAATACCTATTAGTCATAATTCGGAGTCAAAGTCTAAAAAAGTAACTAATTCTATCAGTGATACTAACAAAGCTAGGCTCTTAGCGGTTTCTTGTAGGGAATCCGGTCACTGGCTAAATGCACTTCCCTCCAAAAATCTCGGAACATTTTTTGACAACGAGTCTTTCCGGGTGTGTGTGGGCTTACGCCTCGGTGCACCAATCTGTGTACCCCACACGTGTCCCTGTGGCAAAGAGGTGGACCAATTCGGTCACCACGGTCTATGTTGCCAGCAAAGTGCTGGTCGTCTCGCCCGACACGCTGCTCTCAACGACGCCATCAGGAGAGCCCTTGCCAGCATCAACGTTCCTTCCACGTTAGAACCACGTGGATTGGTCCGTGATGATGGCAAGAGACCTGATGGTCTCACTCTGGTTCCCTGGGAACGGGGACGGGCTTTAGTTTGGGACGCTACATGTGTCGATACTTTAGCCCCTTCCCACCTCAGGGAATCAGTTGCTAAAGCTGGGGCTGCAGCAGAGTCGGCTGAGTTAGCCAAACGGCGCAAATATGAGTCACTTTCTAATGACTACATATTTGCGCCTTTTGGTGTCGAGACCTTCGGACCTTGGGGACCGAATGCTAAATTACTGTTTCGGACCATTTCCCCTAAATTAATTAAAATTTCGGAAAAAGTTGAGTGATGCAGGGAAGAAGAACTCTACGTCTCTCAAAGCTTCTTTGGAGAAGTAAGAGAGTGTCGAAATTGAGCCACTGTAATTGCTTTTTTTCGTGGGACAGTTTTGAAAGGCTATTTAAAACACTTAAAATATGAAATATCACATTTCTTTCATATCATTTGGAAGTCTTATTTAATGTATTTTATGGCTATACTATTTTTTAATTACTAGGATCCCCGAGAAAGAAGGAATAACACAATTTATGAGTAGAAATAGAGTTAGGACGCGCCACCGCTATTAGATTTTGGGTCTTTGAAAATTTTTTTAGTACATAAAATAACTACCTATTGTCCTGAAGACATTGCTATCGTGTAAAACGCTGTATAAACTATATACAGAAAAAAAATCATCGCTCTAGTTACATTTCTCCCATCGATTCTCAGCTCCGCCGCGTAAAAAACGTGTTTGGGATATTCACCCATGTATTACTTTTCTCTATGAGCGTGACACAGCACAGACAATAAAATAATATTTCGTAAAAAAATGGCCCAAGTTCTTACAATGTAGCGCTATCTAGCGTACGATGCGCTCCGTTCTATCTTCAGGATTTCTATTCGCCGCTAGATGGCACTGTACACATAGTTATGTATTCTGTGATAGTACCATAGATCATAGTTAACCTTTTAAAGTTATAATGACGTGGATATTTTCTTGGCGGGAAAGTGAAGTTTTTATTTGTACTGTATTAATTAAAAAATCCACCTTGTAGGTGGACGTCCCACGCTGCGTTTTCCGGTACGCGGCCTCCATTCCAGAACCTTTCTGCCCCATCGGCCGTCAGTTCTGCGTACCTACTATGTGCCCTGCCCATTGCCACTTCAGCTTGCTAATACGTCGGGCTATGTCAGCGACTTTGGTTCGTTTACGGATCTCCTCATTTCTGATTCGATCTCGCAAAGAAACACTAAACACGTGGGACGTCCACCTACAAGGTGGACCGACGACATCGTAAAGGTAGCAGGGAAGCGCTGGACGCAGGCCGCTACCAATCGATCGACATGGAAAGCATTGGGGGAGGCCTATGTTCAGCAGTGGACGTCCTGTGGCTGAAATGATGATGATGAATGATGAATTAAAAAATCTAAATGTCTATCAATGTGTAATAGTGGTGGACGTGGACCGTGACGTGGATTACTAACTGACAGTGTAGCCAAACCTCAGATCATTCTATGATCTGAGAGCCAAACAGTTGAGTTCGCATGCGTGAGGTCGTTTCAGTGAAAAGACCCACATCTTTCCTGAAATTCAATGGGAGCGGGGGATATTCCTATCATGCATACAATCAATTTAATCATTATTTAAACACATACCTAACTTTATTTTTTACCTCAAACCTACCTAGAAAAAAGACTTTCAAAACCTTAAAACAACATTATGCAGTAGTGTCCGACCGAATGTTCGGTTTCGGTTTCGTTTTCGGTTGAGTTTCGGTAAAAACACGAGTTTCGGTTTAGTTTCGTTTTCGGCGGCAAACTTGCCGAAACTACGACCGAAACCGAATGTGCATTCGGGAGTTTCCGCGCTGTTATCGGTCATGTTCGGCGCGTTGAATGAGTGAGTGAATCCGCCAAATAATGTCGTAATTCGCTTGCTTGTTTGTTTGCTGTTAGTTTTGTTTTGTTGTGGTGGCGAGTTTTCCAGTGATTTATTTTTAAG